CTGTTCTTATCAAGCTGTGCCAGCTTTTCAGAAGCATGATGGTTATTGCTCACAGTTGCCCTTCTTAACGAATGGATGAACGAACGAAAATTTTGGTTTGCTTGCTATTCTAAGTCTCAAATAGCAACAACAGGGTAGGGGAACGAAAGCCGCCAGTTTAAAGGCAGCGTCCAGGCAGATCCGAGCTCGACGACCACGCCCACTTCCCTCGACGGCCAACCCTTTATGAACTAAATCTCCTCAGCCTTGACGTGTTTTCACATGATCAACACAGTCGAACTTGCAGCGTTTACCTGTTAATACTTGCTTTCGACAAGGATAACATCAGGAGCAATCGTCCGGGTTTTCCCAAAATAGCCCCAAAAGGTGGTTTTCTGAAATTCACGCTTTTTGACCATACTCGGAACCAGCGCCATGGAAAGGCCTGGATAACATAGAAATATAGAAGTCGAGAATCTGCCTGGACGCTGCCTTTAAGCCGCCTTTCGCGGCTAACTGGTCCTTTCGCAACGTTGTTGCATGTCGTTCCAGGACCAGCAGCCCGCGCAGGCGACCGAAGCTGGCAGCTTTCTTTCCCCTATCCGCAATAACACAATGTTTGATGTGTCCATATGACGAATTAAATACAAAAAACCCATTCCATAAGTTCCGGCATAAAAGCTCGGTGACTAGAACTGGAAAACGTTCAGATACATCTCAAAGGTTTTATAGAGAAAGGAAGGAAACTAATGTGAGCTTTATCATTGAGCAAATTCTCAACTTTTGGGGTGATCTGATAGATTTTTGTTTCTTATGTTTCACTATTTCCGTTCTGCTTGCTTTGTGAGCTGACGTCGACGGCTCAGATTTACATATCAAACAGACACATGACTGCATGTTCAATAGGGCTCAAATTCGAGAGCTATAAATTCTGTAATCCTTTGGACGCGCAATTTTTTTTTAAGTGCAGAAGGTGCACACATATGCACAAAGAGACAGACGGCCTTTCAAGTTATCATCAGACAATGATACCCAAATGAGAGGTGATTAGCCGACTGACACCAAGCTAATGCGAGCTTGACACGAACGAGTATAGTTGGAATCAGAACATAGCATGCATTAGGTTGGTGCAAAAGTAATACGCGTTTTGTGAGTTTTCACTTTGACGTGTTATAACTTTCTAAAACTACATTTTTAATGCGATAAGAAACATTAGAGACATCAAACCTTTCGCAATACAGCGCACATCCTCCTATATTCATATCGCCAACGGGAAGTAAAATATGAATGGATAAGCAGAGAAAGTTTTTTTCTGAAACTTCGGTCTTTAACTAATCATAACTTTTTTCAAAATTTGTTAATATAGATAATAGTAGCCTAATTTGTAATCCGGGAGCAGTTGTACAAAACAACTTGAAAAGGGTTTACAAAGAGGATCTGCGAATAGGCAAAAATAAAAATCCAAAATTGTCCAGTTTTCTGGACATTTTTTCGCAAGCCTAAAAATCCCTAAATATGGAGTTTTTTTGACTTTCTGCGTAACGAACAACTACACATTCCAGTAAAAACTGTCAGTAGGAGGTCCACCCTTACGCTTACAGAAATGAGCAAAGCTTTGACAATTGTCCTGTTAAAAAGAAATTTATGGGTCACAGAATGATCAAAACGACTGCCTATGTTGAGGCGACGAAATCTCAGTCTAGGTAGTTTTTGAGAAAATGATAAAACGTGCATAATGTAGACACCAATTTCCATTGACTACAATAGCTGGAGCTTTAAAAATTTGCCTTTATTCGGGCTCGATTCCTGGCCAGAAAAGTAAATGCAATGAGATTCTGTTTTCGAGTGCGGTTCTGTGAAGCTTTATTATTTTTTAACTAGTAAATCTAGAAGCCCGTTTCAACCACCACTGGATAGAGGATGATAGGAGCTTCTTGATGTGTACTAAGTTATTTTCAAAGAAAAAAATTAACGGAGAAAAGTTGTCGTGAAACAAGGGCTAGAAAGACGCGTATTGCTTTTGCATCAACCTAATATTAGCTGTCCGCGCTGCGCACGGAGGGCAACGCTGGCGTCCAATGAAGATAGTTCATGACTGGAAGAAGCGCAGAGAAAACAGGGGGCGAGAGTGCACGAGGGAAGAGGAGTGACGCGCAATACACACCTTGCGCACTCTCTGCGCCCTGCGCGGACGGCCTAGGAGTGCGAATGTGAAGTATTACCCTATTTTCCGGAGTATAAGCCGCATTTCTTTTCACCGCGCGCGGGCCGAAATGCGATGTCGTTCGCGATGCGCAAAGCCGCATAAGCAGCAAGTACTATCCATTTCGCCTAGTAATCTAATACGGACTTTCTGCTTTCGTTCTTTATTTGGGTTCTTCGCAAGTGTGTTTGTTTGTAACAAAATTCTCTACCTTCTCCTTTATTCTCCAAGAATCCGCTGAACAATAAAGGAACGTTTGAATACCAGTAGTAACATGGAATCGAGAGGTGATAAGCTTCAAACCAAATCAAAATCGAAATAAAAGAAAGCACAGCTTTAGCACCGGTAACATCATTGAAAAAAGGAAAGCACAGTCAACCGTATCATTTAGGAAAGAAAACACAACCTAAACACCCGCAAAGTCATATGAAACAAGAAAAAAAGTGAAGGCATGACTATCCGTACTAGAACGCACCGAGTTTTCAATTTGCTATATAGCTCTTTTCAGAGGCGCTTTCGCGCCATTGTTCGCTGCGGCGGGTGCGGCTTATACAAGGTGCGGCTTATACTCCGGAAAATAGGGTACTTTACGGTAGAGAAACTTCTACTACAATATCCACTGATTTAGCGATCACAAGGTCAAAGTGAGGCTTTCCATGGAGAATATTAATTGACACTGTGTCCAATAAGGCATTGAAAGGATATCGACATGCTTCACTATACCATCGTTACATCTCTATCCCAAGTGCCAACAAAAGATGACGGAAAGAAGCTCTATACAACAAGTGCAGTTGAAGACACTTGAGTGCATGTAAATGTTACATTCTCTATTTTGCTGCAATAACAACACCCACGGGCAATAGTGCTTAATCTCTCTTATGTCTTTATCGCGTCACATAAAGTAAATCAAAAAAGACTCGAGTATAGATTTCCGACAATCTTGAAAGATCAACTCGCTATATTTTTAATTTCTATTCCTCGAGCTTGTCAGAAAGGGCATACGTTTTTCCAGAACTCAGTAAATTTTCGCATGTTGACTTTGTATCGTGCCTGGTGATTCGCCGTTGAATCAAAAAGGTAATGCTGAATGCTTGTGATTCTTTCGAACACTAACAGACCTAAAATGCCTCCTCTGAGCACTTTTCTCCTCAACTCTCCAAGTTACATTTTTGAAACAAAAAAGGCAATAGTTGAAGGTGATCTCCACAATTCAGGCTAAAAACGTAGAATACCACTGAACATTCTCTGTTACAAGCAAAAGAAAAGAATGTTGTCCATAGTAAACCACCGTCACTCCAAGTCGCTTGAGGCAGGCATAAGTTGACTTACGGCGCCTCAGATAAGCTTTGTCCCTCAATCTAGTTGATCGCTTTGTAAACAAGCACTAATTTAACGAAGGAACTTCTTCGCCGTTCGTACAGGATTTGCCAAATTGACAAAATTGTCGCTAGTCAACTGGCTTGGAACGGCCGTTGTTTGAAACGGATACGGGTCAGGAGTCACTCTCACGAGCGACGCCGCAACGCGACGTCAAGCAGTACAGAATTTGGCCCAGTCAGTACTGCTGTCGCAATGTTACTTATAGCATCGGGTCATATATCTGGCACCCCCCCCCCTACTGTGGGGCCGTGCCACTTTAGCACTGATGAATTCTAGTTAGGCACAAAATTTTAGGGCGGCGAGCGGCCGTCGCGCGCGGTGTGACTTCTGTCCCTAGCCGTTTGAAACCAGCCAGTGGCAACGCTTTAGCTACATGGCCCTGCCATCTTTGTTATCGGGCACCATTAGAAAATTGATGATGACTGCTATAAGAGATTTTGACGAGCAAGTGGGGAGATGAAACAAAAGTGAGATTACAACAGTTAGCATGAGTTTCCATAAAGATTCAGCTGTGTGACAGTACATGGAAAATGGAAAATCTCATTAAAAGCAGTCTTAAACGAAACGAAGCATTTTCTGCAAGAAAAATGGTTTCAAAAAATTGAAGAAAACACGCTGTTGAATCAGATATGATGGTTAAATCTGTAAAAAGTCCTATAGCCTTTGATTTTTATTTTTATTGCCATTAGGAAAGGCATTCTTGTTTGTTCGCTCGGGATCTTTGCTCAAGGAGACTCTTAAGTGATGCAAGTTATTCGTACATATAAGAGGCAAACTACGTGATTCTGGGCTTGTTCAGTTGCATTATCAACTCACTTTTTCTGAGTTAAAAGGAGGGTTTTTACACTGAAAGGACGGGTTCTGAGAAAACCTAAAATAACAACGAATCTATTGAAGGAAACCATTCTATTCACGCAAATGTCAGTCAAATGTTATTTGGTAAGAGTTGTCCATCTTCGAGTAATGTTTTCGGCACTTTATGTCTTATGTCTTTTCGCATTTTTGAGGATCCAAATCCAAGTTCGACATCCTTGTTCAAATGTCGCTTCTAAAAGAACTTTGTCGAGAAATTAGGCTCAACTTATTATAGATTTTAAGAACCCTTGGCATGTTTTTCAGCGGCAAACTATGTTTCACTTGAGCCGAACATTGGTTTCTCACACGTTATGCCAAAAATTGCTTCTTCCAAGAAAATCAAGTCTAAAAAATTCGTTCTATATAATTTTTGAATTGATTACTTTGCCTTTTTCTTGCGGAATCATTTCGATCAGATTTGATGGCCGTAAATCCTCATTCTATCCGCGCATTACTATATACGTTCTGAAGCTGTATACAGATTTTGTACGAAAACAATAGAACAATGCTGTAACGGTCCAATACGAGCATTACCTTGTTTGTCCATCTGCTCCGGCATTTTCCTATAAAACCTCTCGTTTCCGGTCCATTCAGCAACAATGTTCTCCACTGCAGTAGTATTCCTAGTCATACTAACGTCTTCCTTTGCGCAACCGGAGGGACCTGGACCTGAAGGTCCAGGACCAGAGTTACCTGAACCTCCAGGGCTACCTGACGCTAATGTGACATGCCCTGATGGTACTATCCCTGCAGGGCGTAAGTTTCATTTTTTATCAATAAATTTAAAGTTCCAAATCTTCTCATAAAAAATTGTTCCACATAAAAGTTTTGTCGGGAATACGCAACGGAACTGCGATACCGTAAAGGGAGACGGTTATCTGCGTCAAGCGAAAACATATCCCACCCGGAGTGATAACATTTCTGCAAAGATTCAAAAAAATTTTGGCCTTGCAAACGAACTAAATACAAGCGTACAGGCAATTGGCATCATTCCATCTAGCCAGATGTCTTTTTTCAGCTTGTATCGGAAATAGCTGTCCCCCCGGGTACGAGTGTCTTGATAGCATACAGCAATGCTGTCCATCGAATGTCACAGTCCGTAAGTATTTTCCCACTCAACGGCGTCTTCCCTTTAGGGAATTTGGCCATAAAAGAAAAGGTCTCTTTATACATATATTCATTCTAGATCCAATAGTACCTACCGCCGTTCCCATACAGCCAACGGCCAGCCCTGGTTTGTTCTCTGCCTCCGAATGTAGATCTTGAGCATTTTGACAGTTTCAGATGGCTGCCAAGACCAAGTCAACCCGAAAACTAAAAAATCAGAGTGCGCTCAAGTTGCTTTGCTGTGTAATGTAGACAAATACTACGAATTCATGACTGAACAATGCCCAGTCACATGTCATAGATGTCCAAGTAAGTCTAGAACTTAATTTGAGCAATAAGCGATGTCCTTGTGCTTTTAGTCCCAGCAGATAAATGCGTGGATTTGGTGAATCCCAGCACGAATGAATCAGACTGTAAGAAACGAAAAAGTCTTTGTGCCAGTTCTGTTTACGCTCCACTCATGAGGGTAAGATCTTTACAACAGCAAGTTCTCGTTTTTGAAGTATAACTATTCAGATCCAATGCCCTAAAACATGTGGTTTGTGCGCGAGCACTAGAATGTATATGCCAAGTAGGATAAGCTCATTGTCAGAAGGTCCTTTTTCATCATGTAAATTTGGGAATAGTCTAAAACGCAAGTTTTAGATCTGGAGGATAAAATCAGAGACCATCCCTCGCTGACATCATTTTACGAACAAATGACTCAAGATAAACTGGGACAAGAAGATTCGACAGAAGTTTCATCCGAGGATGGCAAAGACATCAGTCTGTTCTGATATTGCACATATACCCCCAAAAAATGCGTTTACATCTCAGTACAACTTGCATAAATATCTCCTACTACTTCCCAAGTGCCTTACGATGAATGATTAAAATCTTGTTTGGCCTGTGAGTTGGAGATTAGTTTCCTCTATCTGTTTCTCACAGAATAAAATAAGTAGTAAATTGGGTAATTTTTTATGTTGCTCTTCCTCGCAGATTATATTTGAACCTATAGGCGAGTCTTTGCACGCAGGGACTGGATGTCATTGCATGTGGTCAAGAGAGTTTGTGCATAGAAGAGGCAACAGACGGCCAAAGAGTTAAAAGAGTGCATGGTCAGAGAAACGCTGCGAAGTCTGCAGTAACGCCCTTTCTCTGCGTGCGATGAATCGCTTATACACACACTTGAGCGGCTAAATTGTGCTCTTTGCCGTAAAAGTTTCTCTAGTATTTGAAAAGTTAAAATCGACGGTAACGATTTTGCAGCAGAAAATCGTCGGCAGAGCTTGGAGAGGAATTTTGTTACCAAAGAGCGTTTTTTTTTTGCAATCATCAAATCTGGTAATATTGGAGAGAAGAAACATTTAAAAGCAACAACTGCACAAGTTGCTTCAGCCCTTTACCTCCACGCACATAGCGAATAGTCTCATCTTGTGTTTCATATTCGTATTTTTGAGGAAATAATTTATTTAAAGCACTAACCACATTTTACAAGCAAACATCATGGTAACACCTAGCAGACACCACAAGTTCGTGGGCATTGAGCCACCATAAGATTTCGGTAGGCCGCATCATTACAAAGAGCAACTCTCGATGGGCAATCTGACGTCCCGGTGAGTGGATTGATAGCGTCGACACAGGCTGAGTAAATAAATGGATGATCAAGCGAACAGCAAAACGCTAATATTTGATACTTACTTCCAGGAGCGCGAGTAGGGACTGTAGCACCGCTTACGGTACTTGCACCGGTTACACCGGTTACGGTACTACCGGTACAGAATCCGCATGTTTTTGGGCATTCCACCTAGAAAATTTGGGATAGTCTCGAGTTTTGGATGGCTAAGAAAATCATTGTCTTACCCTCATCAGCGCTATGTAGTTGGAATCCTGACAGAGCGAAACTCTCATCGGGCAGTCGGACACACCTGTTTTGGGATTCAATTTGTCAGCGCAAGTCCCGGATACCGTGGCTGCATAAGAGAGTAATTTTAAGCCAAGCCCATAGTAACTACAAGGTCCAAACTAACTTGCACTGGTTACGCCAACGCTGGAACATCTATTACAAGTGAGTGGACATTGTTCGGTCATTAGAGCCGTATATGCTGCATTGTTACATAGATGGGCCAATGCTGGGCAGTCGGATACTCCAGTAGCCGGATTTACGCGATCAATACAAGCTAAACATCTTCCATTTCTCGAGTGGGGCAATCCTTACAGCAGTGAAACTCACTGGTGGTGCCACCGGTGCCAGAGCATTTTCCGCAAGTTTTTGGGCATTGCTCGGTCATTACAGCAATGTAGTTGGCATCATTGCAAAGACTAGCTCTTGCTGGGCAATCGGATCTTCCAGTTCGTGGGTTGATTTTGTCAACGCATGCTAAATGTAATCCATAGGCACCAAAATGAGGTTGATGAGTTTTATGTAATATAATAAGGAGGCCCCTATAAGCAATTAGTCAAGTCTCGCTGTGAAAAAAATGAATTCTAGAGCGAGAAAACAGCTCCAAATAAACAGATAGAAGCGGCCACGCCGGCTCCGCCCATCAATGTGAGTGGTCTGAAGATAACAAGTCCAGACTTGGCTTTGATGTGCCCAAAATTGTCATAGATTAACCTCTCGATATGATTATCCAATTGGCAACACTTTTGTCTACTCTGAATGTCAGTTTCATGTAATCTTCGGACCACCCAGGTAGATGGGCGGAGCCAGCGTGGCCGCTTCCACCTTCTGGAGTAGTTTTCTCGCTTTGGAATTCATCTTCTACAGCGAGACTTGGGCGATGGCCTAGTTGGGAGCCCTTCTTTGTGAATGGTGCGTATTCTAAAGGTTTTTAGAGTTATCTACAGCGGACTTACTTGAAGCAGTAACTGAAGGGGTCAGTGTGACGGTTGGCACAATGGTTATACCTGCATATACACTTGATAAGTTCTCTCAGCTTCGTAGAGATTTGCTGCTCACCTGGTGCCAAAGTGGATCCGGTTCCAATAGTGGTAGCCTCACTGACTACGGAAGGTTCTGCTGGGATGACATTATCGTCAACACAGCATGTTTGCGTATCGATAATGCAAGTTTGACCGGGCTGGCAAGCGTTGTCGATACAAGCTAAGAAAAATAAAGCAATCTTTTGATTTTATTATTGACTCCAGAACTCACGTCCCGTCTCTCCATCAGGATCACAGGATTGAGCTGTTATTTGTGAGATTGCAAGGGTTGAGTAGAAGGCAAAAATATAGAGAAGCATGTCGAATGAGTGGTTCCGGGCATCTTATTCAGGGAATTTATAGCAATTCCACTCTGCAGGTGCGCCAACATCATGGCCAGTGGTCAGCGCTTGCAACAATGCACACATGTGCTCTATACACATTCTATAATGAGCTGGAAAATCAGCGCGAACACCGATTGCTCTCAATGGTCTGTATTGAAGACCCGTACATAATTTTTTGAAAAAAAAAACTGCAGAAAGCAGATTGCGCTGTGAGAAATACTAACTAGACTTTTGAAAAAATAATTGCAATTAACTTCGCTTGAATTTTACATGATAAAAAGTTCTACAGACTCAATTTTCGATAAGCACATAAATTTATTAGATCGCTTTCTTTTGCGACAAGCGTCACTCTACGAAAGCACAAGGAAAAAAGGCTCTTTTCAGATTAATTGATGAACTTTCAGCAAGGACAGCAGCATAGCATAAAGATAAACCTAGAATGACTACTTACCTACTCGCCTTTTTTCACTGCCTGAATGCTCTTGTTTCAAATGCTATATTCATCAATATAATTTGCTTATATATTAGGATGGCTAGCGAACTGTATAGTAATAATAGTAATATTTGACATACAAATACACATTTTTATAAAAATTCGACTAGCTGTTAAGCAGCCATAATTATTACTGTAATTCAAAAATTCTTCGATTTTTTGGCATTAATAAGTAACTATGATGTCCTTATGTAACTAGCCTTCTAAAAATCGCTCTATAGAGTTTCTAAGTTTTTTAAGCTAGTGAGTGCACAGATGAGTAATTTCCTACCTGTAAACACAAAATTTCATAAGAACTTCATTAGCTGTTAATCAGCCAAGATAGATGGGTAGATATGTGCAAGCTGCGTCTATATGGCGAACCTACATAGTGCTTGAGGTCTGCAGTTTGCAAATTTGTATAGTCAAAATGCATTTTCCGACATTTGTGCCTCGAAGTCAATAGTGAGATATCACTAAAATTTGACAATCTGTGGTCGTGTAAATGTTTGTGTGTATTAGGTGGGTCCGAAAGTTCTGCCGTTTCATTTTCAAAAATATGTAGCTTTGCACTGTTGCAACGGATTTGCTTGCTTATAGTTTTGTCAGAAAGAAAAAGTCTTTCGCTTTTAAATGCTGTTTTGTGGAGCTTCTGTTTCACACTATGTGCGGAGATAACAATGAAAAACTAAGACCATATAAGCTTTGACCATTTTAAGTTAGGTCACCAAAAATCTGAAACGCTGCAAAAAAATCTGAAATCGTCAGTATATATGTTTTTTGGCCTACCCTTTGCATCTGTGATGTGCTGTTTGGACGTTTCTGTGAGAGGTTATGAATATCGAGTCTACTAGGGAGAACACCAAAATCATTTAATTTGTCAGTTTTCGTGAAAATCATAACTTTTCACAGAGACGTTCAAACAGCACAATCTCTTCACAGTTGCAAAGAGTAGGCCGAAAAACATATGCATTGACAATTTCAGATTTTTTTTACAGCGTTTCAGATTTTTGGTGACCTAACATAAAATGGTCAAAGCTTACATAAGCTTATGGTCTTACTTTTCCAATTTTATCTCAGCAATCAGTGCAAAACAGAAGTGCCACAAGACGGTATTCGAAGGCGAAAGACTTATTCTTTCTAATAAAATTACAAGATCAAATCCGTTGCAACAGTGCTAAGCTACAAATTTTTGAAAATCAAACAATTGTAGATGTGCGTACCATTTGTACATATTACATCCAATTGCAATCGTTTTCTGTTGATTTTGGTTTTTCAAATGATTTTTTGTAAATATGAGAAAATCTGAGTTCCAATATTCTGCGCTAATTCGTCACCAAAGAAATTTTCTGCCCAGACGATGTTGGGCTTTAATCCTCCTTCTTGAGCCACTCTTCCCTTGATCCATATAATCGTGAAGAATGACCAGCAAAGTCTCTATAAACCGTCAGACATAATTGTTTAATGGTCAGCTAGGTCATATAAAATTTTATTTTTTCCTGTCTTCTGGACAAAGTTATAAGCATCTACCTGATTTCTATTCAAATCTTGCGCATACAAGTATGAGAGGCTCGTGCTTTCCACCGAGAAAGTTCAAAGAAATCTGGGCACTCTTGAAAGCTTTTGCACGAAGCCCGCGGTGCCAGTGACTTTGATTACTAAGAGTTAAAATTTTTATTGGAAAGAACTATCAACAATACCATTGAGAAAAACCTATACAGGGGGGCAATCTATACGATTTTTAACAATAAAAAATGGTAAAGGCTTCTCAAAAGCTGCACTCATCAAGATTTCCTAGCAACGTTACATGATACAGAGAAAACAATGGAGATCCATGTGACGATCTCCTATTGACCAAATTTACAGAAAACACGAAACGCGAAGTGAGCTTGATATGAGAGTGGGGTTGATAGGGATGAGAAGCGGCCACCGAGGTAGACTTAGCCGAGCTAAGGCTGTGGATATTCGCAGCGGAACGGCTTTCTTATCCATCTTAGAAAGAATAGGCGATTTTACTCAGAAACAGAGTCAAGCAAATGACGGCGTCTTCCTAATCGCTTCGTTTATTCCTCTTGCCTTCTGCTCTTTCAAGCACAAACTATCTTATTGTTAGTTGGACGCAACGGCGTCCATTCTGTGCGTGCGATGAATCGCCTGGAAGAGTTTTCAAAAACTTCTAGAAACCACCGAAGGACCAAGTTTAAGCGGAAAGAAGTCTTTGAACACGAAAAACAGGAACAATAGCTGTTAACTCATAGTCAAAATTCACTTAATCGTGTTCGATGACCACTTTATAGAAGCAGAAAAGCAAACATAGAAGAATACATCCGAATGATCGCCACCAGTGGCAGCAGCGGGAAAATTGAACATTAAGGGTCGTGGGGATATTTTTGATTTATTTGAGTGGCTAGATCCTTCAAATATTATGAACAAGAAGTTTCGTCGCTTTGATTTTAGAAATTTCATAACTGCTCTCTAAATGAATGTATTTGCATGCGAAAAATATCATTAAAAAACAAATTTTATCTTCTTTCTAATCATATCTTCGACGCTCTCTGATGAAGAAGTTTTCAAGGATAAAAATTTGAATAAGAAAATCACTCAAACTCGTGATTTTGGAATATAAATCGTCAGAAATCCGAAACGCTGCAGAAAAATTTGAGAGCATGATTGTTAGAAGCTTTGTGAGTAGCTTTCTTTAACGGTTCCAAGGTTTTGCTGATCGAACTTTTCTGTGAAAAGTTTTGACTTTCGTGAAAAATGCGGAAAACAGCAAAAATGACGTTTTTTTGCATTTTTCTGCTTTTTCACAGAAATTACAACTTTTTACAGGAAAGTTCATCAGCACAAACTTGACATTAGAAAGTGCAGCTCACAAAACTTATAGGAAACATGCTCTTAGATTTTTCTGCAGCGTTTCAGATTTCTGACGATTTATTTTCGAAAGTCGGGAGTTCGAAAGGTCCTCATTTTCGAATTTTTATCTCTGGAGTCCCTGTCGTCAAAGAGCAGCAAAGATGGGATTGGAAAGTAGATAAATTTTCTAACTGGGAGTATTTTTTATAAGTAGATGCGTTCACAAAGGGAGCAGTTACTAATCTTTCAAAAGCAACGCGACCTTACATTCGATTCAATTTAATATAATATTCGAGTGATTTATTCAACTTAGAACAAGCGTGTCTAACTTTGCTGACATAGTCGGCTCGGTCGGTGTGATGATTTTGCACCTGAGAACTCAAAGAATTTGGATACGAATTCCATTCAAATTTGTATTCGAATGGAACATTCGAATAAAACATCCGAATAATATTCATTCGAGATTAGGTTTCCAGTAAGAGTTTTCGAATTCGAGATCTTGCTTTTTGATTATCCGAACTTTCAAACTCTATTTGAAACACCTTTTTCTGATTCGAGTTTTCGATTTTTATTTGATTATGGAAAACTCCGAGTTTCTAATTTCGAATGGTAATATATTCGTATGTTTTATTTCAATGATTGAATTTTTAGTCGATTTGGACCAAATTATAGGGCTGATTCAAAACTATCAACTATTTTAATAATTTTATCGATGTTTCGCAAGCTTTGTGCTTGGACCTGGAGATTGATGCAAAATAAAGTGAGTATTTACAGAATTAGTTTCAAAATTTTGGTTTTTCTCATGATTTTATCGAGTTTCCATAAACTTTACGCTGGTGCTTTGAGAGCTGGTACAAGATGTAAGGAAATGCGCTGATTACGAATGCAATCTTACTTCCCAGTATTACTGATTATCTCTATCTTTTATCAATTTTTTAAACTTTGAACCGAGGATAGAAGTTGGTACAGAAAAAAGGTAAGTTGATATAACAAAATCTACCTAGGGTCTGAGAATTAGTATAGCAAGGTAAGTGAGCGTGGTGATTACGAGTACATGATGGGGGCAGGGAGTTGTCTTGTAGAAGTAGGACTATAAGGAAATATTGTGTAGAATTATAGAAGGGCAACCTTTACCACAATTTATTGGCAGGGCCGAGCAAAGCTGCGAATCCCTATTCCGAAGCTGCTGCTACCAAATATTCTCAACATTTTATTATATCTTGTCGTATATTCATGTTACCATAATACACAATGATAGAAGACTGTGAATTCAATCTTAAGATAAAACTTGATTTTGATGCGATACCGTTTGCGTGGTCAATGAAAAATCCAACGTATGCAAAGTTGTAGCTGAGTCAAGTGAGCTTAGCATGTAAATTCGCTTAACCACTTGACGGTGCGACCTACCCTGTCCGGGTACGGCCTATCCTGGCTTACTTGGCATTTAGTGATTTGGAGAAAGTAGTACACTTAGGTATGACTTTGTCCGGAAATCGTCTAGCAGATACGAAACGCTGTTTTGTAAAGCGTTTTACGGCTTTTCAAAACAGAGTAACGGGCCGATAGATATATGTAAGGGAATAAGGTGTATGTACCCATTACAGCTGGCTTGGCGGCTGGAAGGCGGGGAACGTGCAGACTGCGTAGCGAGCGCAAGCGCCCTCAATTAGGTCACAAAGTCCCGCTTTCCAGCCACCCAATTGCATTTGCCGACAGCATGTGTGTGCGCGTAAACAAATTGCCAGAGGGAGCAGCACCTGAGATTATGTTCTCTATAGTCATTTGCACGCGCAAGTTGCCTGCCTTGAAGTATCAGCACTCTGTTTACGAGCAATTGTGTAACCGCTTATAAATCTCATTGGGAAAGACCACATGAGGTTGGAAAATTTCTGTACTAACAGGTGTAGCGTATTCCCTAGCCAGCTTCCCATCGGTACCACCTTGCGACGCATACGCAGCGCAATCCTTTTTCACTGCTTATCGCGTCGATAGAGTGGTAAGTTATTTTTCACGCAGAAAAATGAGTAAATGAGGAAAGGCAGACTTCTCAGCCTCACCTTTGAGAAAACCTCAGGCAGGAGTAGAGCTTGTATCCCTTTCAGATTTATAAGTAAATCGGTGCGGAATTGAAACTTTAGTGATGAATGCAATAGCAAGTAGTGACTTACAAAGCACCATAAAGTTGTTTTTGTAACGTTTCAAATCAATAAGCATAGCAAAATCTAAACTTTTTAGCTTTAACTTATAAGTATTTGATTGAAGAAGCTTTGTACCCTTCAAAAGGCATTCACATATACATAAAAGCACCAAATCGCATAAAATCAACTAGTAAACACTCATGCTTAGTTTGAGAGGCTGCAGAGGTAGTTCTTCCTAAAGATCGCTCGAAATTCCATTACTAGCGAACAAAAACGAGAAATCATTAAAGATAACGCCCTCAGGCAAAGTCCAAGGCCCGTATGCACGTACATCCCGCTAGAGGGGAGGGGATCTGAGAGGGGAGAGTCATATCTCTCTCTAGATATATTTCTTCTTCCTTCTCTCATGAAGGTTCTCATACCCTCATACCCTGCGCATAGTGGGTGCCAGGTCACTGCCATAAAAGTTTTTTTTTGCCTCATGTGATCCCCTGGGGATCTTTTGGGAATCCCCAGGGGATCACCTCCCATGTGGTCATTTATTTTCCTGAAAAGTCAATGAAAATGCTGCAAAATTCTACTCTGCACATACTACGGCACTGCTAAACATGTTTATAGTAAAACTAAGTGAAATCTCAGGATATCAAAATCTTCGATGAACCACTGCTCGCGAACTAGGATTATCGGAAAATTCACAATTTCCTTCAAGTTCCATTTCTCTTGTTGAAAACATGAGAGGTGGTCCCGGGGGTTCCCAGGAGATCCCAGAGGATCACACAAAATGGCAAAAAACCAATCTTGTACAACAGTAACGTGAAGTCCAATAGCGCGGATAAGGGTATGAAAACCTTCATAGGCAAGAAAGAGAAGAAAGAAGAAACTCATTTGTTCTTATCAGCAACATGCTTAGCACTGTCGGTTTAGATGACCTGCACAACTTTGGAGGTTTTTCGTTAACTTCGGAGAAAGAAAAATGACTTTAAAGAAAAGCGCCGGGATCATCAGGGATCATACTAAAGCTGAAAAATGCGGTTCGTACAGCTTCTCGCTCCTGTTCAACATGTTCATCGTGAAGGGTAGTAGGAATAATTACAGATAGGTACACAACATGAAATCCAGGTATCTGGAGTTTCGAGATATAAAGCTTTCTTTTAAGGTGCGATCCCCTCCCCGCGGGGATGTTAGTGCATGCGGCCGGAGGGCGTGCAGCAGTTCCTAGCACCTTTCCTCGCACCAACTTCGCACAGGCATTCGCACCCAGGAGGGTTCTATCACCTCCACGCCTTAGAGGTCAAGCCCCGCCCAATGTTCCACCCGTTTACTGGTCTCATTGTGAGGTGTGCAGGCAGTGAGCACATAGATTCAGGTAGCAAGGTAATTAAAAGAGAAAAAAATGGAGAAAAAACGAAGAGCATAGTTACTATTTTCCAAATGAGGTGACTTGGAAACTTCTGCATTCCTCCTTTTCAAAAAGATAACATTACTATTTTTTGAATAGAAAACCCGGTCATTCGAATTAGAGGTTCTAGTTGATCAACTGTACATTACTGGTCAGATTGAAGTAATTTAGCAACAGGAGTTTGAAAATCGAAATATCTTCTCAACATTAGGAGGGCCCATTTTAAACTGAGTTTAACAAAGCTTTCGAGTGAGCAACTTCACGCTTATTCAACAGTTAGGATATCTGCACACATATACTTTCTAGTTTTGTCTGCCATCATATATTCGAATGAGTTTTTCATTCCAACTATGCTAATGATCAATAAGATCCAGATTATTAAAAAGAAAAATTCAGTTGTAATATTTTCCACAATCGATGTATTGAAATTAATACCAAACTTCTCGCAAGATCGAATGGATAAGAGTTCCAAATATACCAAATTTGCAAGATATTCTAACTCGCTGTATTCTTGATTGAAATTTCGAACTTGCCTGAAATTAAGTAACTTCTCTCTTATATACTGTGTTTGGAAGACTCATAACTTCTGCTTGGTTTATATTAATGTGATATGCATCACAAACTTACTCAAACGCGAGCACTACCAAGTTTTTAAGGAAGCGTCATTTTACCCTAAAACAAGAGTGAAACGTAACTGGAAGTGCTGAGATTCATCTGCAGTCATTTACGGATTTTGAATCTTGTAGAAACCTGGGTCGGTAGTAATCTGGTCGAAACTCCGAGTTTGAAGCTCCGCGTTAACTCAGAGATAACTCTGAGTTCCGCTTTTGAAACTCTGAGTTACGCTTATTGAAACTCTGAGTTCCGCTTTCGTAATTCCAAATTCCAACTCTCAAGCTCGGAGTTTTGCTTTGACGAGCTGTTAAGCACTTTGCTGCAAAAGCGACGTTAAAGTAGGGACTCGAACCCGTTTGCTCTAGCGTAAAGATCCTATCACTGAACCGCTAGACCATGACACACCCATGAACACTCAAATTGCTTTGCCATTATGTACCCACTCATTCCATTAACACTTAGCAGGTCAAAACAAGTTATACCAAAGCCTCACTCATTTCCACTTCTACCAGACAGTGATGGTTTATTCACGAGGACTGGTCTTTTGCGCAGCTGAAAGCTTCAAACAATAGAGAAAGCGGATGGCATACGCAATGATAAGGATTGACTATTAGGATTTGCGCACAGATTAAATCCTCCGGGCAAAGTTTGCCCTTCCATGATTTCGTCTTACTTACCGTATACCTACCGTAACCGTTCTATATGTCACCAGTGTATGTAGCAGATAGATTGTCCGTAACATCCCGAATAACTGAAGTGTACCAAATTTCGGCTAATTCCGCCGCTTTTAATTCATCTACCGTAAACCTACCGTAACCTTGTCAGATGACACTGCAGTATAAAATGCATGTCATATTCGTGATCAGCGCCTCGAATAACCCCAGCGTACCAAGTTTTAATCAGTTTCGCGATTTTCTCCTATCTACCGTAAACCTACCGTAACCTCGTCAGATGACACCACAGTATAATTTGCATGCCATATTTGATCAGCGCACCGAATAACCCCCTGGGCCAAGTTTTTACAAAATTTCGAAATTTTGTAATTTACTGCGCACCACGATACCCCATGCCTGCTTAAACTACGAGCAAAATGTATCCCGGAGGACTTTTTAGCTGCCCCTCTTCTTTTGCGCACTATTTCTCTTTCTCTGACCAAACTCAGAGTTATCTCTGAGTTCCACGATAGACTGGAACGCGCACCAAACTCAGAGTTATCGCAGACACCAGTTGCGCGTTTGGTGGCGCTGTTTCTTGTGCAGGGCGATTTGGACAATGTTGCGCTACTAGGAATAAACTACGTGTTAAGGGGAATCCTGCTATATCATCGCTTTCCGGATTTGATCTGTTCAAACACCTGTTAATGGGGTCAAAAAGTTGCGCGTTAGCTCAGAGATAACTCAGAGTTGACTCTGAGTTATAACTCTGAGTTTCGATAGGTTTACTACCGACCCTGATTTTTTGTTTCTCGATTTCAGTTTCATTATTCTCATATATAATGAAGCACGTCTTACAGTGCGTGTACAATTCAGAATGAGGGCACACAGAGGAAGGAACGATGGGCGGAGCCGCCCTTTGGCCCCGAGAAGGTGTGATGTCCCTCAAGGGATTCCTGGAGGTGCCAAGTACCCCTGCGAGAAAAAGCGGCTAGGCTTTGGGAACTCCTGCCACGCCGCCCATGCGGCCCTTAGATCCCATTCCCTCCTCAGCGGGGATGTAGGTGCATACGGGCCTAATTAGTCATTGTCCATCGACCACCCTTTAACAGAGAAATCATGCGGCAACAGCGCTGAATGATGAAAGAAAAAAAAGGAATTCTCATTTAAAACCCAAAAAAAGAGCGCCGATGATAGGAAGCGTGCGCTGCGCGTGCGTCGCGGAGGTGCCTATGAAGAGCTGGCCGGGACACACACTATATTTGTGAAAATTGACTTCAAATCTTTTTGGGCTTTACCTTGTCTCAACGAAAACTGATCTTCATTATGGAGCACTTTCAAAAAGACGGATTGCTCAAACAGTTTATTTCGCTGCCGTGTCCAAACTAGTCTATCACAATCAAAATCTCATTTAATCTCATAATAATGCATTGCGAATTGCGGACTACAAATAGGCTTACGAATGTCTTTTGCCTGAAATGAAGAAGGTTTGATTCAAGCCAGAGTCTGCCATGTCCATTCTTCCGGGCGCATCGTAGAAGAAGTTGCCCTGCTCGTCGACATATTCTTGAATTTCTTGCACACCTAGGCATTCGCCGGCCGGAGAAACGCAAAGATTGGCGAAGGCATACGCGTTGTAGAAGTAGTAGCCAGTAGTGTTGTATGTCTCGCCAAAGAATAGGCGACGATGGTCTGAATGTTTGCATAGAGATAAAATGTAATTTATTGATTCACTCTACTAGAGATATTTTATGTGCTGCCTACTACTATAACTTTATACTACTGTTTGGTTTGAAAATTTTTAACTTTTTCTGCATTTTCCGGAACGAACAGCCCAGTTTTATTAGCACTGAATAATCACCTAACTCACTTGCTTTGTGAAAGACAGGAATGGACTTGCATGTTTCCTCTGCCTTTTTGGAGAAGAGGAGCCTAAATAAAGTTTACACAACGGAGAATTTTGGTTGTCTCGTAATTTTTCACGAGTTCAACAAATTCATATGTTTCTTATACTTTCGTCACACTCAATAGGCCAAAGCAAACTCAATAGGATGGGCGCAACATTCGTTAGAAGTACCACACGTTGAAGTAGGAGAAAATTTATGAGACAACTTGAAGGTTTGCTCAGGCAAATCTGGGCACGTATAATTTACGTGAAACTGATTGTCGGGCGCTATGTCAGGTGCTGTCCCAGCGGCAGCGCTAATGTTCATCCACAGCCGAGAGATTCGCCTCTAAACCTGACTCCTACTGTGCGAACGACTTACATCGTCTTGCATGCTTTTAGCCAGGACCCACCAGCCCTCATAATTATCCCGCACATAAGCATGCAGGCTGATGCAAATCCGCAATAGTTCAGTTATGGAAATGAAGGTTTGGCTATGGAATTATTCAAAGTGCTATTTACTGTGCAGTGCCTCAGATGAAGCTCCACAATCATGTCCCGATTTGCCTGAACAATGCGCTTGATGTCTTGGAACCGAGAAGGTAACAAACCTTGCTAGAAAGCACCGAAACGCTCTTCGAGCAAAACAATCATCTCTGATGGTAGAGATTTATAAGTATTTCACTCACAGAAGCACATGATGTATCTGAGCAAATTTTGTTAGAATCTATACGAGAGTAGCGGCGCGGTAACAGTTCGTCCAGTTCCTTGCAACTTCGAGCGTGTAATTCTACTTTTATATGCTCAGAAGTGACAAAAGCATCGCGTTTGTATCAATGTCGTTGTGAACCTAATTCTTTACCTGTAGAAGAAGCACGGTCGCACTAATGAGTTTTACTTTTCTGGCATTAGATCCAATCAGTAGTATTTTGAGCGTGTTATACAGGGTGTCCCAATAGTATGTATACATGTTTGGTCGTTGATATCTCTCCTTCCAAGAAGTTTTTTGCCTATCTTTAGGCATAATTTTTTTCAGAGTGGCTTCAACTTAGATAAACAGTAGAGGGTGATTCAAATCACAGATCGCTTTCATTTGACACGGTTGGAACTTTAAGCTTACAGCGTCATTGAGGATTGATCGTGTTCCACAAAAAGTTTCCAAAGAGTCTGAAAAGTAGTGTACTAAAGTCTTCACGCACGCTGATGTCATTATGCAACTTGTAAGGCATTTCAAACGGTGTAATCACGATTTTAGGAAGAAGTGTAAAACAGCGTCGAAGTTTACCTGGCATAGCTTATGAAGGGAGCATTGCAGTAAAGCATAAATTTCATATTCCGTTTTAGCGCTCGAAATAGCACAAGAATTCAGTTTGTTTGGTTTGTTTCTGGGGAGGATCAGAGCCCTCAATTGCTTAAAACCTTTCTTGAAGTTTTTACCGTAATCCTACTACAGTAATGAAGAGCGATCGGTGATTTGCTCCATCACCTAAGATCTAAGCTGAAGCTAGCTCTACAAAACACTGCTTGAGGGTAGGCGAAAGACTTTTTGGGAAGAGAGTTATAATTAATCAAACAGTGTATACATACTTTTGAGACATCCTGTATATCGGATGTATTAGGTGGGAAACTAAGTTTTGCAACTAGTCCGATATTTCTCTCACTCAACATGGTGCACTAAAATTCTGCCAATGTCTTGGTTATGATGTAAGCTACAAGCGCAGCTGCTGTTCTATCAAATCCTGACGTCGCAGTGAGGGTTACGGTAGGTATATAGTATGAAGGGAAAAAATTATAAAATTCGACAAATTTGGGTGAAACTTGGCATGGAGGGGTTATCCGACATGCTGATCACAAGAACGATGCTGAAGTTGCGTGATAAGGGTTTTTTTGTGAGACTACTGTAGCTGTACGATATAGAGTCCCATCCTAAACAAAGAAGGGGCGTTGATTCAACCGGTAAATATGATATTCGTGTTTAGCAGGTCAAGGAACCTCAATATGTAAAGGCTCGGGGAATTTTTATGGTTCTGACTCCTTAGTCATTGACGGTTGTCCCCAGCAGCCCTCCAATCTCGACATGCCCCTAAATTTCATTTTTTTTTGGTGAGCCAATTAAATTAACTTCTAGCTAAAGTTAGTGCAAGATTTCGGATTATTGCCCATGGTCTAGACTGTTAAAAAATTCATTTTGCCTTACCACCCCAAAAATTTTCGAAATGCAGTTTTCAAAAAGTGCCCGGAATTTTTCTAATTCGTTTTCAAAATCCAAACAGTTTCGGTCAACCGTAGTCCACACTACGCTCTACATACTGCCCAAGTTTGAGTGCGCCACATCCAAGAGAGTTGAGTTATGAGACAACTTGCAAAACTTAGTTTCCAGCCCAATACATGCAAACGTAGCCGATAAAATGAAAAGGGTTATGCAGTAAAATGTAATGAATCTCAAAATGGCATAGCCAACTGTAAACAACAACGTGCATTTTCGCTCTTTGTGCGAGGAGGAAGTTTCGGTGCCTTGCATGCTTCTCAAGAAGGCTTTTCTTGGTGTTCTAGGCAGTTTTGGCAAACTTGACCTCTACTCTTGTTGCATTTTAAGAATCAGAGGCAAACCAGACCTGAATTTCGATGCAACCCAGTTTTTAGGAACTTTGGTGGAATTAAGAATGAAGAAGCGATATTTTTCTCCGTCAAATGGTTGTAAAACAGAGACATCTGGCGTGGAGTTGCATTTGGCTTTGTAAAACGTTTGTTGACCCGAAATTTCTTGAAACGAAACGTCAAAGTCCAGTGTTTCAATCAATGTGCACGACGAATTGGTTTCTCCACGGGAGAGAGTGTATCCTTCTACAGAAAGAGTATCGCCCTCTTTGTACAGACTACAGTAACCCTCTTCGTTCTGAAAAAGATTTAACTACTCTTCGCATCTTGCAGGGTGCTGCAGACCTCCCGGTATTCCACAACTGCGCATTCGTTTTCTTCATAGCAAGCTCTTAGACAGCTAACTTTGTCTTCCAGGTAGAAGTAGTACATGGGTGTTCCAGAAGCAGCAGGATCGTAGCGAAATACGCCAGTATTTGAACTCTAAGATAAAATCTTTATGTTGCTGTTTAAGGTATAAATCAATGCTTACCATCTTGAGAACGAGCACAAAGATGAAGCCACTAGAGAACATATCACCAGCGAGGATCTTCTGGCTTTCGGCTAATGCAAGGGACGACAAGCGTGTTTCAACAATTTCCGAAGAAGATTGGTTTTGCCCAAAGCACTGTTTTTCATATTTCGTATTCCGTGACTTAGCAACCAATTCACTCGCAATTACAATGGACGAACATCTTACATAAAATGAGCAGATCGCCTAAACGTCTGAACCAATCAAAAGCGCAGATACTGAAAGAAGTACTACGATTTTTCCGAATATATATACGGTAATTTGTGCACATCAATGCATTCAACTGCTAAAGGTAATTGTTTGGTAGTTAGTTCACTAGATAGTCTTGGTCTTTTTCACAAATTGAATGATGAATTACCATGTCCATCCCGATAGCCTGCCGAAGGCAGCTCTTTGGTATTTAACAATGCAAGTTTAGAGCAGCAGCCGTATTTTACAATTATGGTCAATGCACACCGAATTTCTACCTTAATTTCACGCGTAAAAGGCGCGAATGCTGAGGAGCTTGTTCAAGAAAGAAAGAGTCATGTCCTGTGCGCATGAGATTAGGGTAATTGATTTTTTCAGATTTTTTTTTTCGACAAGCTTAAACACGCCACACCTTGCAACCAAAGGACCTTATGCTGTGTTGCGTATTGCCGAAGAGATTCGTGCATATGGCATAAAGATCGTTTTCCTTAATACAGAGAAGCGGCTGAGGAGCAGGGTAAAGCGGGGGGTGCGGCACGCCGCAAGGGGGGGTCGTAAGGGGGGGGGGGGGAGTAGGTAGGGGGGGGGGGGTCGTATCGACCCAAGGTCAAAAGCGGTTTCTAAGGGGAAATAACTGCAGCTAAGTTCTTAGATGTGCCACGCTGTTGAAATCCTGCAAAATTCAAGTTTAACGACACAAACTTGCAGATACCGTATGCCTACCGTAACCTACCGTACCTCTAATCAAGCATAATTGGCGTAATCCGCGTGTCGAATAACCCCTATGCGCCAAGTTTCAGCGAACTCTGAGGTCTCCGAGCAGTAAACAACCTTGTATAAAGCAGTAATTTGAAACATGATTAACTTCATCTTAACGGTGAGTAAGCTACCTCTTCTTGCACTCAATGCAAAGCACTACTCCTTCTTTGTCCACCTCAGGAATCCCGCTCCAGAAGAACTCCAAACTATTGAATTAGAAGCCAATCAAAATCGCTTTTAACTTTTGATCGCTGTGCTTCCACCAAATATTACTCAGAGCTAAGAAGACGAATCAGGCTCAAAACATCCCTATGGAATCTACGAGGTTTAGGCTATTGATTCATATAAATATTGTCCGCTAAAAATGTTTTTTTGATATAGTTAATGGCCTGCGGCACCCCCCCTCAAAACCTGCGGCTGCCGCAGGTTTTGAGGGGGGGTGCCGCAGGCCATTAACTTACCTTCAAAACGTTCAAACAGCTGCCTTTTTTATATCATCCTATAGATTCATCCTTCCTCTCCCCGTAGTAGCTGTTTCCCCTCGAAGCGTTTTCTTTAGAAGGAGATACATATGGTTTTTGCGAACCATATGCTCGGAAGTGTGGCCAAAAAATATTGGGTTACGGTAGCGCTCGAAAATTGTCAAAACACAAAGCCGCGAGATGCGAGTCTTTGAATCCCACTCTCGTTATGGGCTGTGTTGTTCTCATTTTCTTTGTCAATGACAGTTACTATTCCTGTTTCACTACTTCATTCATCATCCACGACCGTGATATCCTCCGATTATCTTCCTTTTTCCAGATTTTTGGTCATCACAGAATGGTCCTTGAATTTCTTTGTACTAGTATGAATGATGGATGCATGGTTGTAATTTGAAACATGAATTCTATTGCTCGACTTGAAGTGACTATTAGTTCTTCTCATATTTTGAAAAAGGTTTTATGTACATACTCTTTGTCGGTTGTCGATGTTTGTCAATGTTCGTTTGCGGTTTTTTCCTTCAAAAGGCTTGATCGAAATTTTGATGTGCGATTTTTCTACAGTAAGCTGCATTTGTTGTTTCACTTTCTTGGTTGATGAGCAGGGTCGATCTGATCCCTGCTCAAGAGATTGTCAGTATGATCGGCTCCCAGATTCGTGTGGAGGTGTATTGCAGACTTTCCCTGATTACACATGTAAACTTGCTAAACCTCCACGTCATTGCATTGCTTTTCGTAATCTCTCGCTAGCAAAAACCGCTACGCGGTGAGTTGGCAAGACTCCACCTCCACACGAATCTGGAAGCCGATGATACTCTTTACCTTCTGGTCACGTTTTACTGTTAGTGTGTTTTACGCCAGTGGATGCCGCCAATTGCACATTCAGGTAAGTTCCGTATGTTCCGTCATGCTTGAGTGCAGGTTGGTACAAGCTATTTTTTACGCAAAAGTAGATGTTTTGATTCTATGTTTTAGAGCGTGCAAAAGTATATTTCGGAGTTTCGTCAATTTCTTCCCCCACAAGCGGGGGTTTTGCAGAATGGAAAGTCAGGAAAGCAATGGTTCGTTAGATTATTCCTTCTCTTATCCATTGTTTCTGTATTTACCTTTTTTTGGAACTTTCTCCCGATTGTACATTGCAAAAAGCATTCATCTCAAAGCACTAATCGATTGTTATGTTAATTTTCGTGTTTAAACTTCCTTTTTCTTGTTGTATGATTTACAAAGTTATCAGATGAATCTGAAAAGGCTGAGCAAGCTACTCCTTGAAACAGAGTCGATCAATTTGTTAGGCATTATCCAAAACTGTGATGCTCAATTTGCTTAACTTTCACAGTAGCAGCCCTACGTTTTAATTCTCATAGCAGGTTCAGAATTTGTGTAATGCATTCCATGCTTGGACCTGAACACACAAGTAACCCTAGAGCTGAACCTACAAGTAACAGTATAACCCTATCTGGTCAACTCAGAATCGTATACATTCAACTTTGTTGCTTCCACCTGTTTAATGAATTGCGTGCTTAATTGCAAAAAAATCATAAAATCAACTTTAGAAAGCTCACTGCCTTCATCTCCAAAGAAGATAGGACTTCGACGCATGAATATAGCGAAGCATGTTTTCAAGAAAATTGAAGTCATTGAGATAACAGGCGACGATGTAAGCTCAGATTCTATTGCGTCCTGAACGTTTGTTTCCATACCCGTTTTCTTATAGTTAGGTATATTACGTCCTAAAAAACAGCCTTTCCAGCCTTCCGCTTTGGCGTTCGTCCACACTCTTCCAAGTCATCGCCGGGAAGCTGCAGCAGATCGTGATGGCACGCAACGGGTTTGTTTCAAAAATTATCTACTTTGTCCGGCAGATACCGAACAACATTGTCATTTGTAGATCTTTTTACCTACTATGATGTACGACGGTTCCGATATACCCCCGGATAGAGTTTTACTCCCACGGCTTCAGGTCAATGCGGCTAGGTAACCAACTACTACGCATATTTTTCTCTACATTTTACTGCTTTTCCGCACTTGTGTTTTGTCTGAATGTGTTCTCAATGTTACAGTACTATCATGATATATTGATAGTCTAACAAGGGAACGATACTCAATGTCCGTGGCCTTTTGGGACGAGATGTATACCATTACACCCGTCTTCGAACGCTGATTCCGAATTTGACTTCCGTTTCTGCTAATCGTTTCTCTGGAAGAAGTTATGAAGGAATTTCGAGCCAAGTTTGGCCACCCAAGGGTATGGTCCGGAACGGCCTCTACCGCCGCCAGGTTCTTGTCTAGTGGTTAGTGCGAAGCCTCATAAGTTGATGCAGGTGTAGGTTCAAATCATTTTGTGTTTTTACTTTTGCATTGCTTCAGTTAAGTTCGTTCGAGAAAATTTAGTCGAATTAATGGATACCTTTTAGCGCAAATAGTGATCATTTTTTCCAATTTTCAAATCTTTTGAAGATTAAGGGCGTTCAGTTAACTCGAGGATGCGAAAGAAGGTTAACTGAGACAATGCAAAATTGAAAATCACAAAGGGATTCGAACCTACACCTACATCAACTCATGAGGCTATCGCACACTAACCACTAGACCACACCGCACACGTAGCGTTGGCCTCCGACCGTATTTCAATCGGCAGCCAAACTCCGCACAATCCATTGTAACATTTTTCAAGCGATTAGCAGAAACGGAAGTCAGAATCGGCATCAGCGTTCCAAGACGAGTGTAATGGTATACAACTCATCTCAAAGGGCCACGGACACCGAGTATCGTTTCCTTGTAAGCTCAAGAGCGGGGGCTGGGAGGAGGAGGGGGGGGGGGGTAAGGGAACGGAGGGGGGGGTCGTGCCGGTCCGGCTCAAGAGGGGGGGGGTCGTATCCGACGATCGTGTGCCGCACCCCCCGCTTTACCCTGCTGAGGAGCTTGTTTAATAAATCGAAAAAGTTGGGTCTTTGCGCATGAGATTAGGGTAATTGCCTCCTGTTACTGCCTTCTGACATATAGATTTTGAAGATCATATGTCTAAAAGCGGTCTCTCTTCTTTGAAGGCAAACTTTCGCTGATTGTGAGTTGAGTACAGCGTACAACTGGTAAATGCTGAGTGACTATAATTTTTCGACTAGTCAATGCTGCATATATTGAAAACTAGATGGCAAACCCGGCTCCGCCCGGGACCAAACTTTGCACACATACACTTCGGGGCAGGGAGCGTGTCATAGTCCACTAGCCTATGACACGCACCCTGCCCCGAAGTATATGTGTGCCAAGTTTGGTCCAAATCGGTTCAGAAATAACAATTTCTATTCCGCACATACGTACAGACATACAGACAGACAGACATACAGACATACAGACATTCAACTTTATATATAAGCTTGGATGTTCAGGAGAAATAATCGAAGTTATACGCCACCTTTGTGGGACTGGTTTATTAGCGTAGGAACAGAGTCTTTGTAATAGGCGAAATACAGTCCATCCCAATTGGAAAGCGCCCGAAACATTGGCTCAGATCGCCCGCAACGCTAAGGGTTTGTGCTGCATAAAAGCATTGCCAGAAAGAGAGCAAAGAAATTGCAGAACGAATACAGCAAACCGTAAACATGACGCAAGGCGTGATGATGGTTGATGGGATGCGCATCACTCAAATTTAGGCGTTGGGACAGAGTGTAACAAAACAGATTCATGAGGAGAACTAAATTAAGTGAAGCTAAATTCTCAGTGCGATGGCTCGAACACCACTCATTCATTTTTGATGCAGTGTCATCAGGGCCCGGCACGAGCTTGTCAAAAGGGGTTTTCGAAAACGAATTCCCCTTTGACCCAAAATTTTTTTACGAATTCCCCTTTGACCCAAAAATTGGTCCCAGTGATTCTGCAGTGAACACTTTGACCAAAAAACAAGTTTTATTGACGAAAAAATGAAAAGAGTTCATTTATGACAAAAAAAAAACAAAAAATGAGATCATATTGTGGATCTCCACATGAGGTCAATAAAGGACAGCACCGGCAGCTAGGGGAGGGGGAGCGCGGGGGGAGGGGGGATTCTCGAGATTCTCGAGCGGAGGAAGCAGACTGTGGACGTACTCCGGACCGCCAACCTGAACGGTTAAGCTTCAGCATAAAACAACTAAGATATCAAAAATCTGCAGTTATACTCACCAAAGGAGTGAAGTTTCCAAGCTGTTCAGCAAAAATGAGCAGCACTTCGTCCCATCATAAATGGTGTCTGAACATCGCAAAATAGAATTGTGTTGCTTGGGAACCGACACCAAAGGGAGCTCGTGGAGTCTGCCATGTTTTCGAAAAGAGTTATGGTGCTTTCAAATATAATCTGTTGGAAAGAATACAAAAAGACCTATACGTATTGAAAGCAAGAGGCAATTCTAGACTAAGTAGCTGATTAGTAAATATCTAGTACAGTCTGCCCCAATCGGGATCATGCCGAACCGTTGGCTGAATTTGCGCGCTCGCAGCGCTAGGGGATTGCGCTGCGTACGCGCGCTGTTGCAGAGAGTGAAGAGATCGAGGAGAGAGCAGACTAGCTAGCCGCAGATATGGTGCGAAACCCTCGCGGCGCGGACTCCCGCCATGCCGATTTTGGCCTGATTAGGATTGGGGCAGACTGTAGGAGGAATACTCAACGCTTTCTCGAAAGCACGCAAGCTCTATAGCATTCAGACAGATGTGAATTGTTAAAACACTGATATAAACTACGCAAAGCATTAAATCATGGGCAGATGCCAAAATTATCCGGTTCAACCTAATCATGCGGTCTACCCATTCGCTACTGGTCAAATCACTGAATTGACCAATAGCGAAAGAGGTGAACCAAATGAACCGATTGAGCCGCATAAGTCTGGTACCTACCATAACGACAACGTCTACGTAATAGAGCAAGGAAACATAAACAAACAAAGTAAGGGAAATTATTCGTGAAGTATCCTAAGTGACTGCATACCTGTTAGGAATTGAATCAATTCAAGCGCGTTCCTCTCCGAGCGCAAGAGGGATAGTAGACAACTTGCGGATACTGTTCAATCTCAGATGCACATCCTCATTGCGAAGTTCATCGATGAGAACGGCAATCGGGTACAGTGAGTCATCACTCACCAGGCGATTGAGAAACTGCTGCTGCCGTAGCGTTGTTTTCTGAAACAAAAGAGAATTTGAAGATGGCTCAGAAATACAGTGTAGTATGCAATAGTAGATTTTGGAGGAACTAGACACTTGTGAAGAACTTCGAGTTACAGATGATTTATGGGCGGCAGTCTCCCGATCTGTGTCGGGAGCTGTTCTGTCCTTATCATGCGCCCATCGATTGATCGGGAGCTTGTTTGTACGGGGAAGTCACGCATATTGAACATCGGGAAACTGACTAATATCGCTTGTAGTGCTCGCAAGGAGTGAAAGCCATTGCGGACTGCTAGAACTTCAATAAGGAACCAAAGAAGATAAGAAATCCGCAACAACGTCCTGTCTTTGAGCATCAGACAATAACATACCACTAAAAAAGAAAATTAATTTGAGTCAAGCAGGAATTATCCAAAACAATGACTGCAAAATCTGTCATTTATCTGGATTCACTAATAACACAGACAACACACATCCGACTATAGCCTGTCCCGACCGGGATCAGGCCGAACCATTGGCGTAACCTTGCGCCACGCAGCGCTAGGAATTTGCGCTGATGCGCACTGTCCAAGAGAGCGAAGAGAGGAAGCAAGAAAGTTGAACGTAAAGTGACGCAAGACCCTAGCTACGCGAACCAAACTCCCGCCATGCCAACGGGCTTGTGATTGGGCAGACTGTATACATCTTGTGTACTTTCAGTCAGATAAGATGGAAGAATTAATCAAAAATATCAGAGTTATGCTTATCTACTATCTTATCACTACTGGTACTTTGTCCAAGCTGATTATGCTTCACCGCACATTTTCTGCAGCTATAGTAGTCACCTCTATTGCGAAACTTTCCATAAGGACTATCAGCTGCCTTTTACGATTAGGAAGCAATCGTTGCGAACACAAGGATTTAATAAAAGAAGGCTAAAACAGTGATTCTCTGAAGGCAGATGAGAAGCATGAAACGAATCTGCATCATTACCTCCCTTTTCCGCTATATATCATGGAAACTTTCGCAATAGAGGTGACTACTATAGCTGCAGAAATGTGCGGTGAACATGAAGATCATCGATCGAAACAACGGTGCAAAAACATGGAGAAGCATAATCAACTTGGACAAAGTACCAGTAGTGCAGGAAAATCACAAAAGGTTATGACTATGAAAGACATGAGCGTCCAAATTCGGAAACAAAGGCACTATGAATATTAACATCATACCACTGGACCAAACACTGCAAAAAATCACAAAAACTCACCAGAGTGTTCTTAAATCGATTGCTTCTGCTATACTTGCAAAGTCAGAAGTGAGAACAGCAAGACCATGCAGTTCTTCACCAGTGCAGCAACTGCTCGATGTCTTCGAGTACGAGAGTAGACGGCAACGATCGCAGCTAAAGCAGGAAGAGGACGAAATAACGAGAACGACGAAATGAGAAAATATGGACGCCGACGCGAAGGGACTCAGCGATACGCCGTTGGATTGGAGCACGCTTTTCTCCTTAGGAACGCGGCTTTTGAGGCTATTTTTGCCTCTAGCAATGAGGAGAGGGGGAGGTTTGAAACCAAATTTTCACTATATACTAATCTTTAGGTGTAGAGTAGATTTATGTAAATATTTTGGAAAAATTATGTGAATTGAGAGTTTTGCCAAGCTCAGCTTGTCATTAGCTTGTCAAATGACAAGCTAATTTGGAAATTAGTTAGGGAAACTCTTCATTCACATAAGTTTTTCATAATATTTCATACTTAGTTACTTAGTCCTACTGCGCATACACACACCAAATCCCGCGCGATTTCGTCACCTCTGCGTTGCAAACGAGCCATTTTTTTGTTTCTTTGGTAGCGGGAAATTCTCAAAAAAAAGTTTGCCACAACCTTCAGTCACATAATTTTTCAATGAAACTCCTACGTTAACCCCTACAGGCTTGTGTCCACGTACGCACCAAGTTTCATACCATATCGTCATTTGCGCGTTCCAAACGAGCCGTTTGAATTCACATCTTAATTTAACAATTTTGCGAAATTCACGGAAAAAATTCTTATTACTCGTTCCGTTCACATAAGTTTTCCATAATTTTTCATAGTTTGTTTCCATTAGCCTCTCTCCGTTGGCATACAAAATTTGGTGCCATAACGTTACGCATACATTGAGAACTAGTCATGTATGCTGTTACAAATAGCATCGCTTGAGCGACGTCGCGCGTGCGACAATTAGCGACGGCGCGGTTTGACGCGCGCGAACTCCAGTTTTCGCCTGTTGAGGCACATAACATGTTAAGATAAGCAGCGAGCATGGGATCCCCCCCCCCCAAAAACGATTACCCCTTTGCTTTTTTTGCCGAAAACGATTTTCAGCTTGTCATTTGACAAGCTCGTGCCGGGCCCTGAGTGTCATTTTGGAGTTATTTTATTGGCTATCTATAGAAAAACTCAAGCTGATTTCGGATACATGGTCGTTTTCGAGAGGCCGCTAAGTTAGGTGCCTTCCCTTGTAAGGTCATCACTTCCGCCTAAAAAAGCTATGATTTTGATCCGAATATAACGAAATTGATGCCGCCAAAATCTAGTCTGAGAGCAGCTGAGAAATTGGTTTTGAGTACAATGTTTAATATTCACAAACGTGCGCTAATTCTATACATACAGAGTGTCCCAAAAAGATGTGCACACTGTTTGATCGTTAATAACTCTCTTGCTTTCATGTTTTTTGCCGAGTTCAAGGTACCATTCTGTAGAGCGAGGTTCAACTTAGATTTGCAGTGTGGAGCGAATCACCAATCACTTTTCATTACTGTAGGATTACGGTATGAATTTCCAACATACAGCGTCACTGTGGAATAGGCGTTGTGATAAAATAACTTCAAAAAAATCTGAAAATCTGTGTACTAAGGTTTTCAGGCGTGCTGATTTCAGTACATTACTTTTCATCAATTTTTCGAACTTTCTTGTTCGCGTATTTACATTTTTGAGGGACATTGGGAAAACAGTTTTTACTCTAAATCTGGAATAACTTATGAAAGAAGCAGCAGACTAAAGTGCAAACTTCATATTTAGGATCAGCACCTTCAATTAACCCATTTGAGAGTTTCTGGCTTGCTTGGCCTTCTTTCTGAGGCAAATTGCGCCCTTTAATGGCTAAAAACCCTCTTCGAAGTTCCTACCGTAATCCTACAGTAATGAAGAGTGATCGATGATTCGTTCCATTCTGCAAATCTAAGTTGAACCTCGCTCTATAGAATGATACTTTAAGCTCGACAAAAGACATGAAAGCAAGAGAGTTATTAACGATCAAACAGTGTGCACATCTTTTTGGGACACCCTGTATATAAAGCTCAAGCTTTGTAAGTGTTTTCGTTTGGTTGTTCGTTCGTTGGTTTCGTTAAAACGCCCGCCAATGAGCCGATTAAGCTGGAACCTCGCACACATATCGTCCATTTGTTGATTTTACGGACTGGACATAACCGCGGAGCACGCGCCGCGAGGTAAAACGCTTGCTCCGATACAAACTCGCCACTGTTAAAATCGTGCTCTCGCAACATTTAACCGCGCCGCGCTTGGTCCGTGGCGTTTGAGCAGTCCGTACGGCCAAGGGATCGACGATATCTCTTCAACCCCGGAAGTTGTTTAGCGCCACTTTGGCGATTCGTTGGGCCCTTGAATCTATTTATTGATACGCTTACGCATTTCTATAGAAATGAAAGCTTATCATGTTCTAAATGCATTTTCCGATGATCATGTAAAGGGGGAAGTTCATTTTAGTCTCAGGATCCTGAAGATTCGGTGAACTGAAGTGGAGATGTCCCAAGGTAAGTCCATAAGGAAAGAAGAGGGGTTTCGCTTCAGTACCATGCCGGGACCAGACAGCACCTGTTTGGTCCCGGCATGGTATTGCGACCTCTCTCTATAGAGCCACAAGATGTTTGAGCGGATAGTTGCAATGTAGGAAGTTAAATTGTGACACGAAACTTATGAATTTGGCTGCCTGCCTTCTCGTGCATACTTCGACAACTCTTTTCAAAACTAGATTATCGCTGTTTTTCTTTAATCTATGCGAATCACTTTCTCGTGCCCATTGTAGAAATTCGAAAAGCCATACCCACTACAAGCTTTCTAATTACTAAGCTCTTCGGGTAAATTTCTCTTCCAAGTTGAGTTTTCCCGATTCTATCAATCAAGTGATTCTAGATAGATAGAATACATCTTACAAATAAAGCTGAATGTGTGTATGTATGTATGTATGTCTGCATGAGTGTATGTGCGGAAAGAAATTTTTATTTTTGAACCGATTTGGACCAAACTTGGCATACATATACTTCGGGGCGGAGAGCATGTCATAGGCTACTTTCGCCATCGATCGATATCGATTTTATAGATTTTATCGATTTTTTGCAATGTTCAAGCTACAGAGCTGGGAGTTGGCAGGGGGGGAGTAAGTGGCATGCTGATTACGAATACCATTTCAGTTTCTACAATTATCGATCACTTTCATCGATTTTATCGATTTTTTGCAAAGTTCGAGCTAAGGAGCTGGGAGAGTTGGCACAGGGGACAAGTGAGCATGCTGATTGCTAACACAGCGGGAATAGGGAATTGGCGTGTAGAAGTGGGCACAGGGAAAGGTTGTACAGGGATAGGGATGGGATCTTTATAGTACACCTATAAAATGAATCTGTCTAGAGATGTTTATATATTCAACAAGGTTTAACTGTTTTTTATCGATTGTGAACCTATTGACATCACATAAGCAATAGTTCAAAGGTTCGCTGTTCTATTTGAGCAGCTATTAATCCATAAAAATCCTGAGCTAAATGTCACTTCTTATATAGAATAAAAGTGTACAATGAATTCCACATTTGCGTGAAACCACCGTCCGCAGGAAAAGCCAGCCCAGTGGTCATAGACGATGCATCGCTAAGCAGTACAGAACAGCATTGACAACCTCCTGCACTTCTGAATAGATTTACTTCGACGTCGGTTGGGGAAATGCAACTTATGGTCTTTGTCAACAAACCTGCAAATCTCTCAAACAGTAGAAGGGATACCTCCGGCGGGCAAATGGCGAGTCTGCCACTTCACGCTCTCGAGCGCTCCGGAGCCCTGCCATTTCACCCATTTTGGTGCTCCGGGGCTCTCCCAATGGTCTGTACTGCAGACTCGTACATATTTTTTCAAACTGCAGGAAGCAGATTGCGCTGATAGAAATATAAACATATGTATTAGGTTGTCCCGTTCTGTCGTTTCATATTTAAAAATTTTTTACTTTGCGCTATCTCAGCGGATTTGCATACTTGTAGATATGTTCGAAAAAGTCTTTTGCTTTCGAATACTTTTCTTTCTAGCTCCTAAAACACACTAACTGCAGAGATAAAAATGGAAAAAGAAGACATGTAAACTTTTATTATGTTAGTCGCCGAAAACCTGTACCGCTGCGAAAAATTCTGAAAACGTAAGTACATAGTCGACTTGATCTTCAAAATTGTGAAAAGTTTGTGCTGTTTGGATATGTCTGTAAAAAGTTATGATTTTCGAAAAAAGTGACACATCAATTTATTTTGGCATATTCTGTAGTAAGTCGAAATTCGTAACTTTTTACAGAGACGTCCAAACAGCACAACTTTCTCTCTGATGCAAAGTGTAGGTCAAAAAACCTGTGCACTTACGTTTTTAGATTTTTCCGCAGCGTTTCAGACTTTTGCAACCTAACCTAAAATGATCAAAGTTTACATGGTCTCATTTTCCATTTTTATCTCTGCAGTCAGTGTGTATTAGAAGCTAGGAAGAAGAGTTTTCGAAACCGAAAGACTTACACTTTCAAATAAAATTAAAGGTATGCAAATCCGTTGAGACAGCGCAAAGTAACAAATTTTCAAAAATGTAACGACAGAACTTTCGGGACAACCTAATATTATACATCCTTTAAATAACTAATGATCTTGTTAAATCATGCAAATGTTTCGTTCGAACTTTACGTAGCCAAAAAAGTTCTGCGACTTAGTCCTCTATAAATATTAGGTCGATGCAAAAGTTTTGTCAGTTTTTCCAATCCATCGGCAAACACGCTAGAATGGAGATAAACAAACATTTCAAAATGTATCCGATGCAGAATTTCTTCCTCTTTCCAGCTGCTAAACTCCCATTGTGTTTCGTTGCAGAGGCGACGAGATATTTGCTGGAAATTACAGCAACCCGTTTTTACCATGTCCAAATTTCGCTAATTTTCAAAATTTTTGTATAAGACTTATGGTGGAGCTCTAAGAACCAGCAGATAGGGCAAACCTTTTGCCAAAAGAAGCAACTGTAGCCCTACGGCTTGTCTTTCAGAATTTCTACGATTTATTTTTTGAAGTGACCAAATTTTACATTCAGCCTATTTTAACCTGATAGAACATAGAATGTTAAACACTTCAGCCATCATTCGATGCAACTTTTTCTCCCCCTTCTGACACTTGCCTTTTTTCCAAGATAGGCGAAATTTGTGGGGAAAATCGCAGTATTTCTCATTTTTTAGAGTGCGCACTGACGTATTCTATGTTTCAAAATCTTCATGATTTGAAGCAAAAACCGCTCATTTACTTTGAAATGGTAGTGATATTAATAATCGAGTGTTGAAACCTCAGTATTCTGTAGATTTCGCAGTGTTTGGTGCAATAACAGGTTACGCAATTTCTCCAAAACACAAGACTTTTAGGAAATTATCTAGCAAAAATCTCAAAAAGCAGCTGAAACGAAGAAAAAAATTGCATAAGTTGGCAAAAGGTCTGCCTTATCTGGTGATTATTAGGGCTCCTCCGAACATCTCATACAAAAATTTTGAAAATTAGTGAAAGTTGGACATGGTAAGAACGAAAAATTGCAAATTCCAGCGGATATCTCGTCACCTCTGCAACGAAACACAATGTGAGCTTAGTAGCTGGAAAGAGGAAGAAATTCTACATAGGTACATCTCAACGTGTTAGCTTATCTTCATTCTAGCGTGTTTGCCGATGGATTTGAAGAAATGACAAAACTTTTGCACCAACCTAATACATAAATACAATCACTGGACCAATCTCTTTTGAAACAAGCCTGTGTTTCTATTAGGTTGTAAAGAAAGTTCTGCCATTAGACGTTGAGCTAAATTGTTTTATTTCTATCTTCATCATGAGTGGCTGTCATTCAGCGATATGACCATGTGTACTGATAACCTTAGACTACTATCGGGTACGATGCTCTTTTTCAAGAAGCGCACTGGCTGCGTTTTAAATTAATTGGCGAGTTCGATTTTTTGACCCTTGAATTCAATGAGTTACTTCTTGCTTGCGAAAACCCAGGTACCAGGGCAAGTGATAGTCGGATACGCTTCATCTAGGCGATATACAGAGTATAAAACGGATTTTCAAACCAAGCTTCTGGAACTTCTGCGCGTCCATAATCTGAAAACTGTGCGTTTTCACAGACCTAAGCGCAATGGATTTTTCCCCTTTCTTGGGCATTTCTTCCTAATTGATCGCCATTTTTTCAAGGTGAATAGCGCATTAGGTAGTTGGGGCCATTGCACATTGAGAACACATTTCAAACCAGCCCCTTGCGTTCGCATTCATTTTTGGTATTTGAGAGAAGGATTGGCAGAACTTTCTTTACAACCTAATACTAGCCGCTCTTAGAAACATACAATGGAAAAAGGCTTTCTTTCGATTGGAAGCGATGAATTCCCATAAAAGGGAATAGCTTTTCATAATGATAAACTTAGGATGGCTGACTTGATGCTCGCTTTTTTCACTGCGTATTAAATGATCTCGTTTCGAATGCTATATTCGTGAAAATAACTTGCGTATACATTAGGATGACTAGCGAATATAGCAATATTAGGTTGCTGCATAAGTTCTGTCCGATTTAAATTTTTTGAGTTCAAAATGTCATAACTTCTTTCAAAGTCAACTTATTTCCAAGACCTTAGTTTCGGTGTGCTGAGCAATTCCTTGGCTATCAGATACATATCGAAGCTGCGAAAATCCTTGTTAAGGAAGAAGCAAGAACACAAACTTTACAGCGTTTTTCTTCAAACCTATCTTTTTTGACATGACGATACTTCAGTATGAGAATTGATAGGCATCCTACCCAACAATGGATAGATAGAGAAATTTTCATAGATTATTTTGCAACATAAAAGAGCCATAGGGTATGCGTTGCCGAGAGATTTTCTTTGACCGAGCAAAAAAAAGCCACTTTTGACCTCGCTTCAGCGCATGTGTGCATGCCTATTTACGACTTATGAAAATTTTACAATTGACGTGAGCGCCTAAAAGAAATTGGCGGATAGGCTCTGCTAGACCTTGCTTTACCCTAGCACTTCCAACTTTGAAGTCATCGATTGCTTCTATTCGCAGAAAGTTATTGCTTGTAAAATATCTATACAGAAAATTGATTTTTGACAATAAATTTTACTAGCAAGATGTTTTCTTCATGAAACTGAGCTTATGCGTATGCTAGCCTGTTTCACCCTTACTCCGCAACCATTTAAACAACTTGACTGAAGGAGACGCATTGTGGAGATTTCCTGGCAAGAACACACTTCTAGGGTGAGAATGTACCTCGGCCACTTGGAGATTTTAGGCCTAAAATCTTCCTTACACTGAGAAATTTATTGGAATCTGATATTCTTTAGGAAGCACAAGAAAAGCACTTTCTAACGATACCAACAATACCGCATTAGTGATGAAATTCTCTTAGAACAGCTGCTTCAAACACAAGGCAAAAAAATCGGACAGAATGTATGCAGCAACCTAATACTAGTAACAGTTACAATGCAAATACTTAATTTCATGAAAACTCGACTAGCTTCATAAGAACTCGATTATCTGTTAATCAGCCAAGATAGATGGGTACATATGTACAAGCTGCGGCTATATGGCGAAATATAATGTTTGTGATCTGCAGTTTGCAAATTTGTATAGTCAAAAATGCATTTTTCGACATTTGTGTCTCGAAGTCAATGTTGAGCTTCATATCGCTTGGGTTTGACGATCTGTTATAACGTAAATGCTTGCAAATATCAAGATCGTATGCGTGTGTACCTTCTGTACACTTTACATCCAATTACAACAATCGTTTTTTGCTGCATGAATTTTCATAAATTTGAAAAAATCTGAGTTCTAATATTTTGCGCTACCTCGTCATCAAAAAAACGATTTTTACTCAAGCGATGTTGGGTTTTGATACCAAATAATCATAAATAAATAAGCCAGCAACGTCTCTATAAACCGTCAAAAACGACCACAATTATTTATCGGCCCCTAATATAAAATAGTTTTTACCTCTTCCGGTTCTTTGGACAAAATTATGAGCATATCCGGACCAAACTGCACACATATACTTTGAGCGGGGTAGGAGTGATAGGCTATTTTTTGTAATTAGAACATTGACCAGTTGCTTTTTTTGCAAGCCCTGTACGAAGCTTGGAGTCGGTACTGTATACTTCGAGAAACTCGCAATTTTTCGAATGAATGATTATCGATTACATGATCGAATATTGAATAAATTCGAAATTCGAAGAATGAACGAACGGATAGAATATCGACTAAAATTTGAATTTGAATAATAAACAAAGAACAAATAGAATGCAAGTATGGAAACTATTTCGAATGAACGAACATTGATTATATTCATATTGAGAGTCGTGTGAGGGAATATTTCATTTTTATTCGAGTGGCTAGATTCGAAAAATCCTACGCAGATAACGTAGCTCGAGTAATTTATTCACTCAGAAAACCCATGTCTAAACTTGCTTATAGTGAACCTGCATCACGCATCTGCCGACAGCAAGTATGTGCGCTTAAAAAAATTGCCAGAGGGAAAAGAACCTGAGATTGTGTTCTCTATAGTCATTTGCGCGTGCATGTTGCCTGCTTGAAGTATTAGCAATCTGTTTACCCACAATTATGAAACCACCTTATACATCTTGTTGGGAAGGGCCACTTGAATCTAAAAAATTTCTGTGCTAACATTTATAATGTACTCTCCGGCCAGATTCTCATCGATACCAGACGCAGCGCGCTCCTCTTTCACTGCCTTTCGCCTCGATAGAGTGGTAAGGTATTGCTCACGCAGAAAAATGAGTAACAGAGGAAAGGCAGGCCTTTCAGCTAACCTTAAACAAAAACCTCATGCAGGAGTAGAGCTTTCAGATTTAGTAAAAGTAGATTGGTGCGGATTTGAAACCCCCTTGATGGAATAGCAATTAGTAACTTACAATGCACAAGAAGGTTTTTTTGTAAGGTTTCAATTCAATGAACGAAGAAAAGTCCAGACTTTCCAGCTTTAACACAAGCGTATTTGAATAAAGAAGCTTTGTATTCTTCAAAAGGCATTCACGTATACATCGAAGCATTAACTTCGCATGAAATCGACTAGTCGACACTCGTGTTTAGCTTAAGGGGCTTTAAACAAAAGTTGTTCTTCGTGGAGATCGCTCGCAATTCACTAGTACCGAACAAAAAACGAGTCACTAAGAAAAACGCCCTTTAGGCACGTCTAAGTTAATCATTGTACATCGACCACCCTTTAACAGAGAAATTATGCGGCAACCCCAAAAAGAAAGCGCGGAGAGCAGGAAGCGTGCGCTGCGTTCGCGTCGCGGAGGTGCTCTTACAAGGGAAGGATACTTGATCGCAGTGACGATCGGGTGAGCGGTGTAAAACCGCGTGTACCGTCCACAGACGGTGATCCCTAAACCGCATTCCATATCTGCTATGACGTCATTTGGAGGAGTTATAAAGCATTTTTGGTGCAGTGGATAGTGGCGTGGGCTGCGGAGCTGGAAGTCGTGGGTTCGATTCCTCTGGGATGCCACCCGTTTTGCATTTTTTGTAAATTTTAGCAGGCAAGTCAAAAGCTGTCGACATCAACAAAAAGTTGATTTTCACAATATGAAGCAATATACTCACATTTATTGGCATTAAATCACCGTCTAACCTAAAGACACTCGTTTTTAGCTTTTTATCAAATTTTTTGCTCAATTTTACATTGAAAGGCCTTCATGAACACATATGACATGAAAGCACAAAATGTGCAAAACAAGAAACACGTTCACAGTGCGCACAACTATCGGAATTTTTCAATGTAAAATTGAGTAAAGTATTCAATGAAAAAGGCTGACGAGTGGTTTTAGGTTAGACGGTGGTTCAATGCCGATAAATGTAAATATTGGGTTGTCCCAATTTTGACCGTTCTTTCAAACCACTATAAAATTACGCACAATAAATACCTGAATGAGATTCAACATGCAGTCCATGCAGCTTTTCCTTCTCTTTCTTATGGATGCATTTGTGATCCACAATCTTGTATATTTTTTTTGATAATTGCCAAAATTCTAGACCCGTCAATTTTATCTGCTCAAAATTGAACTTATTTTTAAAAATTTCATTCTAAAGTTTCGGAAAGAGTTAAGTATGAATTGAATAAAGCAATTCTCGGGCTACAAGGTTTTTTTTAGATTCTTCTAATCTGCTGTTTTTATCTTCAAAAAATTAATTCTTCGAAGGTCGCGGTTTTTGGCAAAGTCATGAAACACGCAACTGCAGCAAATGTACGAAAGCTTTTGCAATGTCTGCGAATCAAAACATGATTCTTTTTAAACTTTACTTATGCATCATAAGCAAGTTTGATTTGCTTTAAAAAACAGTTTTGGGAATTTTAGGTACTTTTACGTGGTGGACTAACCAAAAAGCCGCGGTTTTTATTGAATAAATAATTATAACGGACTTGATAAACGTGGCCCATGCAATCTAAAATAGGTGCAATGTAGCCAAAGATTTGCTCTACATAACAATTACTCGCGTTCTTCAAAAACATCAGGATAAAGTTTTTTGAAATTTAGGACACATTTGGCGTTACCACTGATCTGCTCAAAAAATCACGGCTATAACATCGCAAAGACAAGGTAGATCAGAGGGCAAATTTAGCTTTAGAAAAGAGGATAAAAATCTGAAACAAATGGCACCTCAGTCGTCTATGGATTGGTGTTCGGTGAGTTTTTGTGAGCGATGAAAAAAACGAACAAAATTTTCGGGACAACCTAATATATTGCTTCATATTGTGAAAATCAACTTTATTTCGATGTCGATTTGTTTTGCAACTTGCCTGGGAAGCTACAAAAATGCAAAAGGGGTGGCATCCCAGAAGAATCGAACCCACGACATCCAGCTCCGCAGTCCAAGCCACTATACACTGCACCAAAAACCCTTTATAACTCCTCCAGAATGATGTCATAGCAGATATGGAATGCGGTTTAGAGATCACCACCTGGGACGGTATACATGGTATACACCGCTTAGACAAACGTCACTGCGATCAAGTATCCTTCCCTTGTCAGAAGCTGCCGAGACACACGCTAAATTTGTGAAGGTTAACTTCAAACCTTCTTGGGCTTCACATTGTCACAATGAAGACTGTTCTTTATTACGGAGTATTATAAAGGCTTTTCAAAAAGACGGATTTCTCAAACAATTTATTTCGCTGTCACGTTCAAACTAGCTTATCACAATCAAAATCCTGTCTAATCTCATATTAACGCACTGGAAACTGCGAACTACAGCTAGGCATCTTACGAATATCAATAGCTTTTGCCTGAGATAAAGAAGATTTGACCTAGACCTGAGTCTGCCATGTCCATTCTTCCAGGCGCATCGTAGAAGAAGTTGCCCTGCTCGTCGACATATTCTTTTATTTCCTGCACACCCAGACATTCGCCGGTCGGAGAAACGCAGAGGTTGGTAAAGGCATACGCGTTGTAGAAGGTGTAACCAGTAGTATTGTATATCTCACCAAAGTATAGGCGACGATGGTCTGAATGTTTGCATGAAAATGAGACAGCAATTTAATGATTGAATTTACTAAACATATTTTATACTATATGTTACCTACTACTATTACTTTATGCTACTGTTTGTTTTGAAAATCTTTCAAACTTTTTCTACGTTTTTCGGACGGAACTTAGCACAGTTTTATCAGTTTTAAAATGTCATCTAACTCACTCGCTTTGTGAAAAACAGGAACGGACGTGCAGGATACCTCTGCCTTCTTAGAGAAGAGAAGCCTAAAAATTTTACGCAACGAAGCATTTTGGCTTGTCCCGTGATTTTTTCCCGATTTTAACAAATTCACACGTTTTCAATGCTTTCGTCACATTCAACAGGCCAAGAAACTCAAGAGGATAGGAGCGAACATTCGTTATAAGTACTATTTCCACGTTGAAGTCGGGAAGAAATTGTGAAACAACTTGAAGGTCATGCTCTGGCAAACCTGAGCACGTATAATTTATGTGAAACTGATCGTCGGACGCTAACCCAAGCACCATCCAAGCGGCAGCGCTAGTGATCCATCCACGGCCTAGAAACTCCTCCCCAAACCTGACCCCAGTACTGTGCGGACAATTTACATCCTTGCATGCTTCAATCAGGACCAGCCCCTTCGTGATGGTCCCGCGCATAAGCATGCAAGCTGATACATGTATAGTCGGATCATCTCATATGATCATTGTGTCACTGCACACCCTGTCCATCTTTGGCGTTCCCATATCGTAGAATTTTGGAAAAGGCGACCCTTCAGATAAGTGTTTTCATTTGTTTTCTTTGAGTTTTCTTTCCTTTATAGGTACCATAGGTGCGATAGGGGGAGCCGGGCCCACTCCAGGTCAAAGGTGCGATAGTCGGAGCCGATTCTCCGCCTACCTTCACTTTTGACCTGATACAGGGTGACCACCTTCACTTTTGAGTTTTGAATATTTTTTGCTAAAGCTGAAAAAAAGGAAATTAAGCAGAACGAAGCATAAGAAAGTATTGAGAGCATATTCTATGTAGTTTACTTTTAGGAAGTCGCTTTCGCCCACTGCGAGCACCTGGAGGCCATCACCGACATGGACGCATATACGCCTCAGCACTTTCTACAGTAGAGCAAGGCTTCATGATGACTTCGGACAACTGAAAAGCTCTAACCCAACGGTCCTCTTTAGGGCCAATAACTGTGACCCAACGGCCCTCTTTAGGGCCACAAATACGATGAGTACAACTGCATGAATATTTTGAATAAACGTGTTAATGAAATAGTGTATTTGTGAGTAATACTCAGCTAAACTTTGTGTGTTTTATCAAGTACATTTTGTTATGACGTACTGCAAAGAAAGTAGGTCGATCCAGGCAGTAATCGCCGAGAACCAGAATTTTGAATAATAAAATAACGATAAGTTATGCGAAATTTCCACTTTTATGACGACTAACTTTTCACTTCTATGACTTTTAACTTTCAAAAATTTCGCGACCCATTCTCGAAGGGATGCCCCCACCTCCCCCCCCCCTCGGTACGCCACTGCTGAGGCGTATATGTGTCAATGCCGGTGATGGACTTCAGGTGCTCGCAGTAGGCGACAGCAACTTCCTTCCTAAAAATAAACTATATAAAATATACTCTCAATACTTTCTTTTGCATTCGTTTTGCTTAATTTCCTTTTTTTTCAGTTTCAGCAAAAAAATTAAAACCCAAAAATCCGAAAAAAACCCAAACCAAAAAACCAAAAAACCCAAAAAAACCCAAAGCCAAAGTCCGTCCTGTGCTCCCCCTCCCCTCTCTACCCCCACCCCCGGTCAACGCTTTTGAGAGGTGAGTGTCCGGCACTGCCACCTTCACTTTTGGGGGGCCCTGCTCCACCTATCACACCTCTGCTCCAGGTGAATGGGGTCTCTGGTACTCCCATCCTTGTAAAGTGAAAGCGGTAAGTGTGCCCTGAAAGCAAAATACCCCAACAAGTTACATACCATTCTAAAGCGAGGTCATGTAAAATAGACCGTCGACTTTATTCTAGGTCTTCTGTGCCGCGAGATATAAGGGATTTTATGTACTTCATATATAAACTGATTTTGTGTCCTCACTTTCTGCTTTAGAAGTGAATGCTACGAGGAAGTCGACGGTCTACGTTTGTTAATAAGGACTTGCTTCGTAACTTAGGAGATAACCAGCAGTGATTAGGCCTTCGTTTAGCAGAAATCTGCTGTTGAAATTTCATATGATCATGTGTGTCACTGCACCACTCTCCACCTTTGGCGTCCTCATCCTGGATTCTAGGAATAGGCGGTACTTCTGCTGAGTGTTTTCGATGTTTCCTTCATGTCTTTTTTCTTAGTACCAATCTTCACAAAGTGATGTAAGCGATTACAATCGATCGGTCTCTTGCGTTTTTGCGATTGCAATTCCAAGATAGGGACGGCATAGGTAGATAGTGTCTGCAGTGGCGCACATGATCATATGAAATGATCCGACTTTATATACCATTCGAAAGCTGAGATTATGGAGAATCGACCTAGGCCGTCGACCTTTTTCTATCTCTTTTTAGCAGTAAGATATGAGGGATTTATCAGACCGATATATCTACTGATTCGCTTTAGCTGACAAAAAATGCATTCAAATCCCTTCCATTTCATAAAAAAGGAGTCTTACTATCGTAGTCATTTATTATTTACGTCACTGCGTATTACACTGAGCGTTTTTGTAGTCTTTAGCAAGACCTTTTTGGTTTTTACGAGCATCAAACATGGTAGACTTACCATAGATAGAGACTTACTTATTAGTTGGTTTTTTCTTGCTTCTCTTACAAGCAAAGGCGTCTATCTGTTTATCTGTCTTAAAACTATGACAAGCCTTAGAAAATATTAAGGCTTGAAAGTAAATATGCCTAAAAAAATTTTTCCAAGAAACGTGGAGAAAGGCAGCGAACAAGCATCAACTATTTACGTTCCTGTAAAAAAATTCAAATGTTTTTTGATTCTTACATTCGTTTTTTTGGGGTATTCATATTTCAAAGCTATTTTTCTCGCTAGTTAATTTTTTATGCCACAGTATCTATTGTAGACGCCAATAAGGCGAAAAAGCAACTACTGTAATAATTCTCATTACTGATAGAAATTCTTCTTTTCATGGAATATGTGGATTGTTGTGTTTCACGACTGAAGTGAATCTCTAATAGCTTTTTGATTATAATTCACTCTCAGATTACCTTTTCAGGTGAAGAGGATCATTCGGGTTGTGGCTCAAACGTGAGGGTGAGATCCATTGCTCCACCTATTGCAACTCTGATAGGTACTAATCACCTCAAAGTGATGCGCTATCGCTTGGTCTCTTGCGTTTTTGCGATGCAAATTCAAGATGAAGACGCCAGAGATGGACAGTGTGTGCAGTGACACACATAATCATATGAAATGATTCGACTGTACACAATAGGTCAGTTATGGAAGTGAGATTTTGACTACGGATCACATTATGGTGCTGCTTTGAGAAATCCGACAAGGGAAGGATACCAGGTCGCAGTGGTGAACCGAAATGAAATGCATATGTTTCGGTTCGTCACTGCGATCTGGTATCCTTCCCTTGTGAGAAATCGGCTAAGAAATCTGTTTCCAAACTCTCACCGAACACTCGCCGTGACCTTAAAGGCAGCGGCTCGGCAGCTTGACCTACCTCAGATTTTGACACAGATGGAAGGAGGCCCTCCAAGTGAACCAAAATGCAACTCCGCGCCGGAAATGTGAACTCTGCAAGCCGGGGGGGGGGGGGGCAAGCGCCGCTCCCCTTCCTCCTTTCGCTCCCCTAACACCTTGTTCGGACGAGTATTCTCCGCTAGACGCGCGGGACCACCAACCGCTTTCCCGCATTGTGCATGCTATACAAAGCCAAAATTACAGGTAGCAGGGTCTTCGTGCTAGGGCCTCCCGACTTTCCTTTGAAAATTCTCGCCCGAGCTGCCTTTTGCAAATTGAAAAAAACGCCCCGAAAAAGGCCTTTTCACCCCTTTCAAAACGCAGATTTAGGATCTACGGATCGAAAAGGCCCAAAACATGCAAAAAGATGAAAATGTAAAATCTGCTGGGACGCTGCCTTTGAAGGCAACGACTCGGCAGAATGACAACTTTGGGATATTCATCGTTCTGGGTTCCTCTGGACGAGCTAAGTCCAAGACTGTGCTTTGCAGTTTCAGAAGGATATCAATAACCCGCTTTTCCAGACGTGGAAAGTGCTATTTGGGCGGACCGCGTATCCTGCTCTCTTAAGCGCGATTGGCTTGTGAGTGGAGACACCGTGCCTACCGTACCCACGAGCCAATCGCGCTTGAGGGCAGGCATACGCCGTCCGCCCAAATATAGGCGTACCAACCAGCATCAGTTCCGCCCTGGTATACGTTGCGAGAACGCACGGTCGCATGCGACGTGCTGCGCGTAACAGAGTTCGCACGGTCAGTTGCATAGTCTCGAGCTACCGCAGGCGCGACGTCGCAAAAGCGATGCTAGTTGGTACAGCCTATCGCACTTTTCACTTCTGGAAAAGCCGGTTATTGATATCTTTTGAAGCTGCAACGCACAGCATTTAACTTAGCTCATTCAAAGAAACCGAGAACGATGAAAATCCCAAATTTGTCATTCTGCCAAGCTGCTACCTTTAACCCGGAAATGGCCTCGCTCATTGACACTACGTTCGAGTTGGAACCATCCTAAATGCTCGCGAGTTATGGTCACGGCGCATATGCGGAGCGTTTGGAATTGCATCTCTCAGCCGTGAATGAACGATTTGCGCTGACGTTTGGGCAGTGTAGCTAGGACCCTCTCGTCGTTTCCAGGCAAAAAAAAACAACGCGCCTAAATTTGACAACACTGCCTTCAAGCACAGTAGGTAACAAACTCTGCTAGAAAACACTGAAACGCTCTTTGAACAAAACATCCATCTTTGATGAATGATGCAGAAAGATTGAACATCTCTACGCATATAAGGGTGAAATAATAATTTTAGAAAAACACAAGATGTCTTACGAAAGCTCACGGCCACGCTAAGAACTCGTTTTGCCTACAGATTTTAATCAGTTTTCCAAGTGTGTTAGATATCGGATATGAGTGCAAACCGCTTTGTATCTGATGAAATGAAAAGGATTATACAGTGCGGTTCATAATAATACGAACACCCTAGGTTTTAGAATATTTGTGGACTATTTGAAAGAAACTGAAAAAGCCGTTGGTACCACGCGAAAAAGCACAGCTGAAAACGGTACACGATCCAACAGAATGGAAATCGATGTCAATCTTAGAAGTGTTTTTGCGCCTAATGCGAACTTTGAGCGGTTCACAATTATACGAACACCTCAAACAAAGGTCCATTTTTCATTCGCGAGTGCAATCTTTCGAGTCCAAATCTTTTCTAGAGTTACAGTAACAAAGACTGAGACTTCTGCTACAGTTTCTTCCAACTAGCCCAGAAATTTCTAAAATTTGGAGTTTCGTATAAGTACGAAACTGCATACAGTAAAATATAAGCACCATAGAGCTCAAGATGACGCAACCAACTGCAATGTGTTTAGCATTGCTTTTTTGCTTGAATTTAAGAAGTTTTCGGTGCATTGCATGCTTCGTGACAAAGGCGTTTCTTGGCGCTTTATAACAGTTTTGCCAAACCCTGGTGGGATCCCTAGTCCCTATTGCTCTCTAAGAACCAGAGGCAAACTTGACCTGAATTCCGATGCAACCCAGTTTTCGGCAACTTTGGTGGAATCAGGAACGAAGAAGCGATATTTGACTTTGTCATACGGTTGTAAAACAGCGACGTCTGGCATGACGCTGCACTCCGCTTCTGAAGAGTTTTCTTGACCCGTAATTTCTTGAAACGAAACGTCAAAGTCCAGTGTTTCAATCAATTTGCACGACGAATTGGTTTCTCCACGGGAGAGGGTGTACCCTCCTTTTACGGAATGAGTATCGCCCTCTCTGTACAGTCTACAGTAACCCTCTTCGTTCTGAAAAGATTTAACTACTTTTCGCATCTTGCAGGGTGCTGCAGACCTCCCGGTATTCCACAACTGCGCATTCGTTTTCTTCATAGCAAGCTCTTAGACAGCTAACTTTGTCTTCCAGGTAGAAGTAGTACATGGGTGTTCCAGAAGCTGCAGGATCGTAGCGAAATACGCCAGTATTTGAACTCTAAGATAAAATCTTTATGTTGCTGTTTAAGGTATAAATCAATGCTTACCATCTTGAGAACGAGTAGAAAGATAAAGCCAATAGAGAACATATCAACAGCGAGGATTTTCTGGTTTTTGGTTGGTGCAATGGACGAGGAGCGTCCTTCAACAATTTCCGAAGAAGATTGGTTTTGTTCAAAGCACTGTTTTTCATTTTTCGTGTTCCGTGGCTTAGCAACCAATTCACTCGCAATTACAATGGATGAACATCTTACACAGAATGTCTAAACGTCTGAAAACGTCTGAATCAATCAAAAACACAGATACTGAAAGAAGTACTACGATTTTTCCGAATATAGCACATTAATGCACGTAACGGCTGAAGGAAAGATAGTCTTGGTCCTTTTCAAATTGATTGATGAATTATCACGTCTATCCGGGGGTCCAGCTCTTTGGTATTTAACGATGCAAGTTTAGAGCAGCAGCCGTATTTTCCAATTATGAAACAACCCAAGGACCCTATACTGGTTGCGTACTGCCTAAGAGATTCGTGCATATGGCACAAGAATCGTTTTCGGAAATACAGAGAGGCCGCTGAGGGGGTGAGGGAACTTAGGTCCCCTGACAGCCAACTGAGATGTAATTTCGGAGGTCATGAGTTGTCAATAACGATAATTAACACATCTGCGGAGCGCATGCTAGGCCCCGCCTCTATCCAGATACCTTTCGCAACCTAGCAGAGGTCCACCAGGACGCGCCCCATGATAATGAAACGGGGATTTCAAACGAAATTGAAATGCAAATTTCAGTAAGGAAATTTCGCCAAACAAAGTGAATACTTGGATTTAGGGGTTTTCAAGTGCGCTCTTTCCAAATATGTAGAGAATTTTTTTTATAAGAACATGTACAAGGTCTGTAAAAAAAATTCAGTTTTGTATCAAATTTCAACCAATTAAAAAAAAATATCGTAGATATCAGAGAATCTCATCGTATTCGCTAGTGGAATTATTTTGATGCTTCACCGTTCCGAGTATCAAAATTTTTACAGTGACAAATTCCATGAAAACAAAATTACGCTCGGGTAAGTGATAATGAATGGAACAAAGACATAGAGACACCATGTCAAAATTGATGTCAAAATTTGTATCGGAGAAGACTATCTAAGTACATTTGCTGAGCCATATATGAATATGTAGATATATAGAGATAAAATAATTATATGAAATATATATACACAGACTAATCGATGAAAGAATCGAACGCAGTAATCTACCGTTACATCCTATGGACTTGCCTGAGGCTGTTTGACCCAAATAAACTCCGTTCACAATGCACTGCATTGAATCTGTTTGTGTTTTTTTTTTTGAATTTATTGAGGTTTGATACAAAAAAATCGAATTTTTTTTACAAACCTTGTACATGTTCTTATGAAGAAATTCTCTACATATTTGGAAAGAGCGTATTTGAAAACCCCTAAGTCCAAGTTTTCACTTTGTTTGGTGAAACTTCAATACTGAATTTTCAAATGCAATTTGTATGAATTTTCCTGTTTCAATCTTAGTAAGCGGTCCGTGGTAAGCTTTGAGGCAGATGGTATTTTCATATTTGAAAAGAGCGTACTTGAAAACCCATAAATCCAAGTATTCACTTGGTTTGGCGAAATTTCTTTACTGAAATTTGAATTTCAATTGTTTGAAATCCCCGTTTCATTATCATCCCGGTGGACCTCTGCTAAGTTGCGAGAGGTATCTGGATAGAGGCGGGGCCTAGCATGCGCTCTGCAGATGTGTTAATTATCGTTATTGACAGCTCATGACCTCCAAAATTACATCTCAGTTGGCTGTCAGGGGACCTAAGTTCCGTTCCCCCCGCTGAGGAGCTTGTTTAAGAAATCGAAAAAGTTGTGTCTTGTGCGCATGAGATTAAGGTAATTGCCTCCTGTTACTGCCTTCCTGTCATATGGATTTTGAAGATCATATATCTAAAAGCGGTTTCTCTTCTTTGAAGGCAAACTTTCGCTGATTGTGAGTTGAGTACAGCGTACAGCTGAAAATGCTGAGTGATCATAATTTTTTAGTCACTGCTGCATGAATTGAAAACTAGACGTTTGGGAGAAATAATAGAAGTTATACGCCATCCTTGTGGAACTGGTTTATTGGCGTACAGAGATTTTGATACGCGAAATAGAGTCCGTCCGCACGCCCGCAACGCTGGAGCTTTGCGCTGCATATGCGCCCGTAAACGTGACGCAAGCGCGTGGCGATGTGGATGCGCATCGCTCAAATTTAGGCCTGACCGGGGTTGGGACAGACTGTAACAACACAAAAATTCACGAGGAGAGTTAAGCTAACTCTTCAGTGCGATAGCTCGAAATCATCCACTTATTTTTGATGCAGTTTCGTTTTAGAGCTATTTTATTAAGTTATTAGATATTGTGCTATAACTCACAAACTTTCATGAAGCTAGACCTAATTTTGTCACTTCGTCTTAAAAAACTATGATTTTGTCTCGAGTATAACAAAATTGATGCCGTCAATTCTAGTCTGAGAGCACCAGCCAAGAAGATTGTTGGTTTTGCAGCACAATGTCTAGTACTCACAAACAATGCTGAAATTCAACCTGTGCCCTGTGTGCCTTTACCATCAACATACAAGGTGTCCCAAAAGTAAGTACACACTTTTCAATCGTTAATATCTCTCTTCCCATGATGTCTTTTTCCGCTGTTTAAGAAATCTTCTGTAGAGGAGGCTTCAGCTTAGATTTACGCTAACGAGGGAATTACCGATCACTGTTCGGTACTTTAGGATTAGTGTAGGAACTTCGACAAGGATTTTAAGCCATTGGAAGCCATATTCTGCCTCGGAACACAAACAAACAAGCCAAAAACCCGTATACTATGGTAATGGGAGCCGCTGATTTCGAATATGAAATTTCCACCTCACTGTGATGCTTCTTTCCAAATTTATCCCAGGTAAACCATAATAACCGAATTCCCAGGATTTAGTCAGAAATGTGATTACGCAGTCAAAAAGACTGAAAACACTCGTAAAAAGTTGTGTAGTGGAATCAGCGTGCACGAAAACCTTAGTACACGATTTTTCAGTTCTTTTGAAAAAATTCTGTCAGATGGCATATTTCACAATCCGCCTGCTGGAAGTTCTTACCGTAATCCTACAGTAACGAAGAGTAATCGGTGATTCGATTGATTTTGTAAATCTAAGTTGAAGCCTCTTCTAGAGAATGGTACTTGACTGGCAGAAAAAGATCCGTTAGGAGAAGAGATATCGACGATTGAAAAGTGTGTACTTACTTTTGGGACACCCTGTAGTTCACGCGAAATAGTGACGAGATAGTGACACGAAACTTATGAATTTGGCTACTTGCCGTCTCGTGCATACCTCGACATCTTGTTTTCAAAGCTAGAGTGTCGCTGATTTTCTCTAATCTATGCGAATCACTTTCTGTGTTGCATTACCGAAACTTACGAAACACCGCATCCACTACAAACTTTAGAAGTACTAAGCTCTTCGGAAAAATCTATCTTTCATGTCGATTTTTTCCTAATTATTTCATCAATTCTAGTTGAATAAAATACACAGCCTTTGATTCAACTGGCTTGGCGGCTGGAAGGCGGGGCTTTGTGACCTAATCAAGGCCGCTCACGGCAACGCAGTCAGCATCTCTGTCGCGCGCGTGCTCTCTGATCATTTCAAGCCTTAGTTAGGTCACGAAGCCCCGCCTTCTAGCCAGTTGCATTGGATGGATCCGCTGGATTCAAGCCAGTTGAATCCAGTGGTACACCTATGAGATGATTCTGTCTAGATTTCATGTTTGTATATTCAGAGTTGTTTGGAAAAGAACACCGATCTACAACATTTGATGGCGGGAAAAGAAGAGGCCAATTTAACCTCTCAGCAGGGCTTAAAAGGGGGAGAGAACGGGGAGCCGCGAGCAGAAGAGACTCGCGGGAGTCGAAAACTGGTCAGAAGAGAGCCAGACCTCCCCATGTGAGACTTACCGAACTGTTCTAAACATGACAGTAAAAAGCCCTGCTAGAGAGTCAAATCGGGACTTTTCCCCCGATTTGATGTTTTTTCTTGTTATTTTCGTTCGTTGTTGGCCTTAAGGCCGTTGCTGCTGTTTATTGTGCATACGGGTAAAGTTATGGTTTTCAATCTTTTCGTGTGCCCAGTTATCAAGGTCGAAACCTTAAAACCACTAGACACTAGCCCTTAGTCACAGAGTTAGGGTTAATGTTTTTTCAACCGATTGTGAGCCTATTAACATCACATAAACAGTAGCTCAAAGGTTCGCTGTTCTGTCTGAACATTTATTAACTCCTAAAAAGCATGAGCTAGATGTCATTATTAACATAAAATAAAAGTCTACATTGAATTTCACATTTGCGTGAAACCGCCATCCACAGGAAAAGCCAGCCCAGTAGTCATAGAAGACGCATCGCTAAGCAAATACAGAACAGCATTGACAACCTCCTGCACTTCTGAATAGATTTACTTCGACATCAGATGGGACAATGTTACTTATGGTATTTGTCAACAAACCTGCAAATCTGCTGATTGGCATCTGTGAGAGAAGAGGACCAGATTTATTAGGATCACTCCAAGCCTGAGATTATCGCTGTGAGAGAAATCAGAAAATTATGACAGTGTAGGAATACATTTTCATAAGGCTCAATAAGAAACTTTGAGTTACGATGAGTTTGATTGGCACAAACATCTCAGATACAGTGGATACTCATACGATGTTTTTGTCCTTACACATATTGAAATTTCCTTAGACTTTTGTTTACAACTTACTCGAATTTTTCAACGATGAAAAGTCTCTAGAATCGGCTTTTGCAATCATGACCATTGAATTTTGTAAATCACCTTTTTTCCCATGTCAGTCATTACCACTGTCGGATTGACGCAGTTGATCCGGATCCCAAAATTTCCCAACTCTTTGGCAAAACATCGTGTAGCCATGTCAAGTCCAGCTTTGCTTGCACCTATCCAACATTTCAAATTGTGCGCTCTTATCACAATGAGCTTTTGCTGAGTGAAACTTCGACCCACAGTAAGCAGTATGATCTTCCAATGGACGCATGGATGCTTGTGATGAGATGTTGACTACTGCACCTCGTATATGATTACGTGCCATATCTGACGTCACAATTTTTGTAAGCATTATTGGCGCCTTCAGATTGACATCTAAAGTCCTATAATGGTTCAAATAGTAACATGCAAAGAAACACTTCGAGACTTTGTTCTCACTTCGTAACTGCTTCCTCACTCAGGTTTCTAACCGATTCGAGAAACCCGCAGCCGGCATTGTTGACAAGAAAGTCAAAAGGTTGATAAGGTGTCAGTAAAGTTGTTAGCGTCGACTCGGATGAAGTAACGTCCCCAACTACGACGGAGATATTGGAGTGCTGAAGACAAAGATTCAGATTCGGCAATGGTAGAGTAAATCTTGCCTTCGATCGAAGCTCCGCAAGTTTAGCTTGATCTCGTGCTAGTGCCACGACTTCGGCACCAGCTTTTGACAGTGCTTCTGCTATAGCATAACCAATACCTTAAAATTAAGGATAAACTGAAAAAATTATTTTTGTATCAATCAAATAATGCGAATCCATCAAAAAAGGATATTTTTGCTTTTGGAAAATGATACAAGTTCAAGGGTTGACGCGGAAGAAACGCATTATTTCAAGTTGTTAATAGTTCTCATTCAATGTGTTTGCTCATTAGAGTATGCTTATAAAATGTTGTCCTTAGTTTCTAGCTTTGAAATAAAAACTTTCTATCAAAGGTTTTCGTGAAGGCTTCAAAAATCACTAGAGAAGAGCTTGAATATTTGAAAGATTGTAGATTAATGTTTAAAAGATATCCAACCAAGAAAAATTTAGCTCTCTCAAAAAATGTATAAGATAACTCACCTCTACTAGCGCCAGTAACAAGTGCTTTTTTACCAGTAAAATCATATTTTGCAGACATGATAGTGACGGCAGCAATGTGAAAGGCAAACAATCGTTTGCTGACTAATCGTCTCCCTTTCGCCTCAACGAAATTCGCTATCACATTCGATAGCGATGTATTACACTTTGTTTATATCGCCAAAACAAAGCAGCCACAATCAGTTGTCCTACTTGTTCCATCAATATATCAGATTTTGGTGGCGCTTTTGTGCTTTCATTATCATTGAGAAGTAAAATCATTGAATGTAGATAGCGCCAGAATTATGATAGCATTTTGCTGCAGAGAAAATGGATTGATCAAACTTCCTCCTGTAAAATTTTTGAGCCTTAACAAAATGAACAAGGAATGAATGAAACAGGTTTTTTTTTGAACCAAAAGCCATAGTTCTATACAACGGCCGCAACTGGTTTATTTGCTTTTCTGCACTTTACACAGACATAAAAAAATTTTTCTCTCCGCAGCTTCATTGGAAGCCACATGATAATTGTACCGCTTATCACATTTGCAAACAGAAGGTCCACGTTTGGTTCAATATGATAATTCTTCTTCTATCATATGTACACTAGTGCGCAGAAGCTTATTGTTGATAAAGGAAATGAATGTGCACAATTTTCGTTCAAAAAGAAAACACTCGGAAGTGACCAGTTCCAACCGCGATTAACAGCTTTTTGATATCAGTGAAAGATCTGAAAAGGCAAATTTTTCTTTCTTTCAACAGGCCACTCCAGTTTCGCTTTCACTTTACCCGAAAATAGAGATCTTCTTTGTATATGAAAAATCTTTTTTGTATGCCGACAATCGCAAACAACGCTTTCTAAAATGTGGAAGAGTGTCTTTGCTTACGTTTTTCGACAAAAATATCTTCGTCTTATTCTACAAATCAATTGCCGCATGATATTTATTCTAGGCCAATTTCTTGTAGTGAACAGACGAGTGTTACTGGAAGGATTTGAAGCATGCTCTCATTTTACCTCTCAGCTTTTTCTCAAGATGTACTGCTAGATAATAAATAGATTAACTTGAGGTCAAATTTCTGTACAAACAAGATATTGTACGATATGAGCACATTTACACTACTCTAAACACCTATCATAACGGACAGCACATTCTTCCACCGCAGTCATCATTGGTCGAACACCAACTGACGGGTGGTTGTGCCTAAATTCAAAATGTTAGAATTAAGGTAGGCAAGCAAAAAAGGACTAAAACTAATAATTATTCTGTAATTATTTGCAGCTCAAAAACTGAGTGACAGTATCTAATATTCTCATACGTTCGGCTCATGCAAACGCTCCTTCTTCGTATTTCTCTTCTCCGACTCCCGCCACAGCTTTGGAGTTTCAAAAAATTTCAAAATCACGTTAGGCTCACATTATACTGAATTAATCCATTAGCCTTGCATTAATTTTTCTTTCAAGGAAATCGTAAACCTCGCTCTTCCTATAAATTCGCTTAATTTCATAATTTAATACATATAAAAAAAAAGTTTAGGCATACCGACGTTATAAGCTGGTAAACACAAGAAACCTTCAAATTTTGGCAGCAAAGAAAAGCTAAATGGTCCAAAAAAGCTTTTATTATAATTTTACAACCTGTTGTTTCAATCAAGAGCGAATCGTGGTATGCGGATGTTTGCACGGAAACTTGCTATCTCTGTGAATATCTAGTTTTTATCGAAATCTCAATTTTGTAACTCACTCAGGTCTTTATCGTGCATGATTTTACAGTGGTTTGAAAAAACCGACAAAACTTTCGGGACAACCTAATATAATGTTTGTGATCTGCAGTTTGCAAATTCGTATAGTCAAAAATGCATTTTTCGACATTTGTGTCTCGAAGTCAATATTAAGATTCATATCGCTTGGGTTTAACGAACTGTTGTAATGTAAATGCTTGCAAGTATCAAAATCGTGTACCTTTTGTACACTTTACATCCAATTACAATCGTTTTTTGCTGCATGAATTTTCATAAATTTGAAAAAATCTGAGTTCCAATATTTTGCGCTACCTCGTCATCAAACAAAATGACTTTTACTCAAGCGATGTTGAGCTTTGATACCAAATAATCATGAATAAATAAGCCAGCAACGTCTCTATAAACCGTCATAAATGACCACAATTATTTATGGCCAGCCTAATATAAAATACTTTTTACGCCTTCCGGTTCTCTAGACAAAATTATGAGCATATTCCTATTCAAATCTCTCGCCCAAGGCCAACTACGCGAGGCTTTCGGGCTCCACCTGGCGGCTTGTGCAGTAGCAAACGCTCGAGCACCTATTGAGTTTTAGGCTCCAGTCTTTCGGTGTTATTCATCATTTATCTCGAAAATTGGCCAGTCATAAGTTCATTACCAAATCCTGCGACGACTAAAAAAGTACCATTATTATACAACGAAAGAAAATGTCATTATAGCGCTAAAAGCTTTGTTTTGGTATCTTGTTTGCTGCACATATTGTGAATCTGTCTGATAAAGCTGAATGTCTTTATGTGTACTTGTATAATTTATGCACTGAGGTCCAAAGGTTCAAGAGCACGGACTGGCCGTCACTGCGGAGCGGTCTGTGCGGTCAATGAGTTACCTACATAAATGTTTGCATTTATGTCCCTGAACCAATCTGGACCAAACTCCACACATATACTTTGAGCGGGTAGGAGTCATAGGTTATTTTTTGTTATTAGAATATTGACCAGTTGATTTTTTGCAAGCCCTGGGCTACAATGCTTGGAATCGGTACTGTATACTTCGAGGAACTCGCAATTTTTCATCAAATGAATGATTATCGAATAAGAAAATTAAAACTTTTCATGAACGAATATTAAACTAATTCGAAATTCGAAGAATGAACGAAGACCGGATAGAATATCGACTAAATTTAGAATTTGAATAATAAACAAAGACACTGGATAGAATTCAAAAATAAAAAACTATTTCGAATGAACGAACATTGATTATATTGACATTGAGAGTCGTGTGAAGGAGCATTCCATTTTTATTCGAGTGGCTAGACTCGAAAAATCCTATGCAGATAGCGTAGCTCGAATAATTTATTCGACTCAGAAAACAACCATGTCTAAAACTTGCTGATAGTGAACCTGCAGTGCGCATCTGCCGACAGCAAGTATGGCGCAAAAAAAATTGCTGGAGGGAACAGAACCTAAGATTGTATCCTCTATAGTCATTTGCACGTGCATGTTGCCTGCTTGAAGTATTATATTAGCAATTTGTTTACCCAATATTATGAATTCACCTTATACATCTTATTGGGAAGGGCCACTTCAATCTAAGAAATTTCTGTACTAACATTTATAGTGTATTCCCCGGCCAGCTTACCATCGGTACCAGCGCGACGCATACGCAGCGCGCTCCCCTTCCACTGCTTTTCGCCTCGATAGAGTGGTAAAGTATTGCTCACGCAGAAAAATGAGTAACAGAGGAAAGGCAGACCTCTCAGCTCACCTTCAAGGAAACCTCATGCAGGAGTAGAGCTTTCAGATTTAATAAAAGTAGATCGGTGCGGATTTGAAACTCACGTGATAGCTTACAATGCACAAAAGGTTATTTCTATAAGGTTTCAATTTAATAAGCGTAGCAATGTCCAGACTTTTCAGCTCTAACACAAGCGTATTTGAATAAAGAAGCTTTGTATTTTTCAAAAGGCATTCACGTATACAGCGAAGCACTAGTAGACACTCGTGTTTAGTTTAAGGGGCTTTGCACAAAAGTTCTTCGTGGAGATCGCTCGCAGTTTCACTAAACCGAACAAAAAACGAGTCACTAAGAAAAACGCCCTTAGGCACGTCTAAGTTAATCATCGTACATCGACCACCCTTTAACAGAGTAATTATGCGGCAACACCGCTAAATGAGAAAAGAAAGAAGCGATTCTCATTTGAAACCCAAAAAGAAAGCGCGCTGAGGGCAGGAAGCATGCGCTGCGTGTGCGTCGCGGAGGTGCTATTAGAAGCTGCCGAGACACACTAAATTTGTGAAAATTAACTTCAAACCTTATTGGGCTTCAAATTGTCACAATGAAGGCTGGTCTTCATTACGGAGTATTATGAAGGCTTTTCAAAAAGACGGATTTCTCAAACACTTTATTTCGCTGCCACGTTCAAACTAGTCTATCACAATCAAAATCTCTTATAATCTCATAGTAATGCATTGCGAACTGCGAACTACAATTAGGCATCTTACGATGAATCTTATCAATATCATCTTCTTCTTATCAATAGCTTTTGCCTGAGATAAAGAAGATTTGACCTAAACCAGAGCCTGACATGTCCATTCTTCCAGGCACATCGTAGAAGAAGTTGCCCTGCTCGTCGACATATTCTTTTATTTCCTGCACACCCAGACATTCGCCGGCCGGGGAAACGCAGAGATTGGTGAAGGCATACGCGTTGTAGAAGGTGTAACCAGTAGTATTGTATATCTCACCAAAGTATAGGCGACGATGGTCTGAAGGTTTGCATGAAAATGAGATCTCAATATAATGATATTCACTAACCGTGTTTTATACTATATGTTACTCACTACTATTACTTTATGTTACTGTTTAGTATGAAAATCTTTCAAACTTTTTCTATGCTTCTCAGACGGAACTTAGTACAGTTTTATCAGTTTTGAATTATCACCTAACTCACTTGCTTTGTGAAAAACAGGAACGGACGTGCAGGACACCTCTGCCTTTTTAGAGAAGAGAAGCCTAAAAGTTTACGCAACGAAGCATTTTGGCTTGTTTCGCAATTTTTTCCCGATTATAATAGGATAGGAGCGAACATTCGTTATAAGTACTATTTCCACGTTGAAGTCGGGAAGAAATTGTGAAACAACTTGAAGGCCATGCTTTGGCAAATCTAAGCACGTATAATTCACGCGAAACTGATTGTCGGAAGCTAACTCAGTACTATCCAAGCGGCAGCGCTAGTGATCCATTCACGGCCGAAAAACTCGTCCCCGCACCTGACTCCAGTCTGTGCGGACGATTTACTCCTTGCATGCTTTAACCAGGATCAGTCCTCTTCGTGATGGTCCCGCGCATAAGCATGCAAGCTGATTCATGTACAGTCGAATCATTTCATATGATCATTGCGTCACTGCACACCCTTTCCACCTTTGGCGTTCCCATCGTGGATTCTTGGGTAAGGCGACCCTTCAGGTAAGTGTTTTCCTTGTTTTCTTTGAGTTTTCTTTCCTTTATAGTACCATTGGTGCGATAGTGGGAGCCGGGCCCTCTTCCAGTGAAGGGGCTCTCTGCTACTCCCATTCTTGTAAGGTGCAGGGGGTAAGTGAGCTCTAAAAGCACATCGCCCCAACAAGTTACAAACCATTCGAAAGCTGAGTTTATGTGAAATCGACGTAAACTTCGACCTTTTTCTAGGTCTTCTGTGCCGCGAGATATGGAGAATTTTATGTACTTCGTATATAAACTGATTTGTGTCCTCACTTTCTGCTCTACAAATAAATGCTACGAGAATGTCGACGGCCTACGTTTGTTAGTGAAGACTTGCTCTGTAACATAGTTTGGTAAATGGAGTGATTATGCCTTCGTTTGGCAGAAATCTGTTGTTGAAAATGGACATAATTTTAAATAAAATGCAGTGTATCTCTCGGTAGAGAAGGGCTAGAAAGGTGTTGACAGTCTACGTCGAATTCGCTTCTCCTGAGCTTTCGAATGGTATATAGACTGCTGAGCGAAAAAACTTCCTAGTTTTAAAATGGGGCGGAGTTATTTACTATTAGCTTGCTCTACCCAGCTCCTCCAATGTATTGGCTTTTATGGGTCACAGGAGCAAGCTTTTTTTGAAGCCGGGAAGCTCGATGCGTCAAAAAGCTATATACCACTCGAAAGCTGAGATTATGGAGAAGCGAATTAGGCCATCGGCTTTTTTCTATCTCTTCTTAGCAGTGAGATATGAGGCATTTATCTGAGAGATATATCTTGGTTCGCTTTAGCTGACAAAAATGCATTTGAATCCCTTCCATTTCATTAAAAAAGTAATCTTACTATCGCAGTCATTTGTTATTTACGGTACTCACTACGTATCACATTGAGCTGTTTTTGCAGCCTTTAGCAAGACCTTTTTGGTTTTTACAAGCATCAACAACTTGGTAGACTTATCATAGATATGGACTTACTTATTAGTTGGTTTTTCTTGCTTCTCTTACAAGCAAAGGCGTCTATCTATTTATCTATCTTAAAAGTGTGATAACCCTTAGAAAATCTTAAGGCTTGAAAATAAATATGCTCAAAAAACTTTTCAAAAACGTGGAGAAAAGAGGCAGCGAACAAGCATCAACCATTGAGGTTCTTGAAAAAAATTTAAATATTTCTTACTCTTATATTTGTTTTTTGGGGTGTTTATATTTCAGTTATTTTTTATAGTTAATTTCTTTGCCACAGTATCTGTTGTAGACGCCATTGATAGGGCGAAAAAGCAACTACTGTAATAAATCTCATTCTAATTGATAGAAATTCTTCTTTTCATAAAATATGTGGTTGTTGTGTTTTACGATTGAAGTGAAGCCCTTCTTTTTGATCATGATCTCTCAGATTACCTTCCCAGGTCGGCCTCAAGTGAAGGGGTTCATCCGGGTTGTTGCTCAAACGTGAGGGGGGAGGGAGGGTAAGATCCATTGCTCCCCCTATCGCAACTCTGATAGGTACTAATCACCTCAAAGTGATGTAAGCGATAACTATCGCTTAGATCCTTGCGTTTTTGCGATGCAAATCCAGGATGAGGACGCCAGAGATGGACAATGTGTGCAGTGACACACATAATTATATGAGTGATTCGACTGTACACAAAAAGTCAGTTATGGAAGTGAAATTTTGACTACGAATCACATTTATGGTGCTGCTTTGAGAAATCTGACAAGGAAAGGATACCAGGACGCAGTGGCGAACCGAAATAATATGCATATGTTTCGGTTCGCCACTGCGATCTGGTATCCTTCCCTTGTGAGGAATCGGCTAAGAAATCTGTCTCCAAACTCTCAGCGCCTGCGCCGTAACCTTAAAGGCAACGACTCGGCAGAATACAACTTTGAGATATTCATCGTCCTGGATTCCCCTGAACGAGCTAAGTCCAAGACTGTGCTTTGCAACTTCAGAAGATATCAATGAGCCGCTCTTCCAGACGTGAAAAATGTGATTTGGGCGGACCGCTATCCTCTCTAGAGCGCGATTGGCTTGTAGTGGAAACACCGGCCTACCGTAACCATGAGCCAATCGCGCTCGAGAGCAGGCATACGCCATCCGCCCAAATATATAGCATTTTCCACTTCTGAAAAAGCCTGTTATTAATTTCTCTTGAAGCAGCAAAGCACAGTATTGGACTTAGCTCATTCGAATAAACCGAGAATGATAAAAATCCCAAATTTGTCATTCTGCCGAGCAGCTGCCTTTGACCCGAAAATGACCTCACTCATTGACACTACGTTCGCGCTGGAACCATCCTAAATGCTCGCGAGTTACGGTCACGACGCATACGCGGAGCGTTGGCGAATGCATCTCTCAGCCGTGATTGAGTGATTTGCGCTGACGTTTGGGCAGTGTAGCTAGGACCCTCTCGTCGTTCCCAGGCAAAAAAAAACCACGCGCCCAAATTTACTGGACACTGTCTTCAAGCACAGTAGGTAACAAACCCTGCTATAAAGCACCGAAACGCTCTTTGAACAAAACATTCGTCTTTGATGAATGATGCATAAAGATTGAACATCAATAATTTCAGAAAAACAGCAAGATGTCTCACTTAATAGTTCTGTCCAATCTCTTGTGACTTGACACGTGTGATTCTACTGCCGGAGACCCACTAGTCATAAACTGAGAAATGAGAAAAGCAACGCGTTGTATCATTGTCTTTGTAACCCAACTTTGAATGGATAAAAGAATCACGGCTGCGCTAACGAATTCGTTTTGCCTATAGATTTTAATCATCTAAGCGTGTTAGATATCGGATATGAGTGCAAACCGCTTTGTATCTGATGAAATGAAAAAGGTTATACAGTAAAATAGAAGCAGCATAGAGCTCCAGATGACATAACTAACTGTATGCAATGCGTTTAACATTGCTTTTTAGCTTTTGCGAAGTTTTCGGTGCCTCGCATGTTTTGTGACAAAGGCGTTTCTTGGCGCTTTATAACAGTTTTGGCAAACTCTGTTGGGATTCTCAGTCCCTATTGCTTTCTAAAAACCAGAGGCAAACCTGACCTGAATTCCGATGCAATCCAGTTTTCGGCAACTTTGGTGGAATCAAGAACGAAGAAGCGGTATTCTACTCGGTCATACGGTTGTATAACAGCGACATCTGGCATGCCGCTGCACTTCGCTTTTGAAGAGTTTTCTTGACTTCCTTCAATTTCTTGAAACGAAACGTCAAAGTCCAGTATTTCAATTAATTTGCACGACGAATTGGTTTCTCCACGGGAGAGGGTGTATCCTTCTACGGAACGAGTATCGCCCTCTCTGTACAGTCTACAGTAACCCTCTTCGTTCTGAAAAGATTCAACTACTCTTCGCATCTTACACACGTGCTGCAGACCTCCCGATACTCCACAACTGCGCATTCGCTTTCTTCATAACAAGCTCTTAAGCAGCTAACTTTGTCTTCCAGGTAGAAGTAGTACATGGGTTTCCCAGATGCTGCAGGATCGTAGCGAAATACGCCAGTGTTTGAACTCTAAGATAAAATCTTTATGTTGCTGTTTGATGTATATATCAATGCTTACCATCTTGAGAACGAGCAGAAAGATAAAGATAAAGAACATATCAACAGCGAGGATTTTCTGGTTTTTGGTTGGTGCAACGGACGAGGAGCGTCCTTCAACAATTTCCGAAGAAGATTGGTTTTGCCCAAAGCACTGTTTTTCATATTTCGTATTCCGTGACTTAGCAACCAATTCACTCGCAATTACAATGGACGAACATCTTACATAGAATGAGCAGATTGTCTACGTCTGAACCAATCAAAATACAGATACTGAAGAAGTAGTACGATTTTTCCGAATATATATACGGCAATTTGTGCACATTAATGCATGTAACGCTGAAGGGAAGATAGTCTTGGTCCTCTTCAAATTGATTGATGAATTTTCACGTCTATCCCGGGGACCAGCTCTTTGGTATTTAACAATGCAAGTCTAGAGCAGCAGCCGTAATTTTCAATTATGGTCAAGCACCTAATTTCTACCTTAATTTCTGCGTACAAGGCACAAATCACTTATTTTCAGAATCGACAGGCTCAAACACGCCACACTTTGCAACTAAAGGACCCTATACTGTGTTGCGTACTGCCTAAGAGATTCGTGCATATGGCACAAGAATTGTTTTCCGAAATACAGAGAAGCGGCTGAGGAGCTTGTTTGAGAAATCGAAAAAACTGTGTCTTGTGCGCATAATATCCAGATAATTGTCTTCTGCTATGAATATAGATGCTGAAGATCAGAATCGTTTCCCAAATTACAGAGAAGCGGCTGAGCAGCTTGCTTAAAAAGTCGAAAACTCAAAAGCAGTTCTTGTTTTTTTGGGCAAACTTTCACCGATTGTGAACTGAGTACAGTGTACAGCTGGTAGATGCTGGGTGACCATAAATTCTTCACTAGTAAATGCTGCATAAATTGCGAGATTGATGTTTACGAGAAATAATCAAAGTGTTACGCCACCCTTATGGAATTGGTTTATTGGCGTAGGAACAGAGGCAAAATACAGTCTGAGTTGATCGGGATGAGCCCGAAACGCTGGCGTAGATCTGCACGCGCGCAACGCAAGGGGGTTGCGCTGCATATGCGCAACGTCGGAGAGAGCGAAGAATTGCAGAGAGAAGACAAGCAAACCGTAAACATGCAAGCGCGTGGCGATGTGGATGCGCTTTCTCGAAATTGGCCTGAAAGGGTTGGAAAAGACAGTAACAACACAAAAATTCATGAAGAGAGTCAAGCTAAAACCTCAGTGCGATAGCTCGAACACCCTCACTTATTTTTAATGCAGTTTCGTTTTAGAATATTTTATTGACTATCCATAGAGAAATTCTGCAGTAACTCAATCATTGTGAATCTAGACGTAAGCTTATCGCTTCCGTCTTGAACAAAGGTTATAGTTTGTTCCGAAATGACAAAATTGATGTCGTCAAAACCTTGTCTGAGAACATTAGTTAAGAAGATTATTGGTTTTGCAGCACAAAGTCTAGTATTCACAGACAGTGCGGTAATATTACTGATGCCCTCTATGCCTTTACCCTCAACATAATTCACGCGACGAGATAGTGACACGAAATTTATGGAATTAGCTACCTGCCGTCTGGTGGATAACCGGATATCTCGTTTACGAAACTAGAGTGTCGCTGTTGAATCTAATCTATTCGAATCACTTTCCCGTGCTTCATTAGAAAACCTCACGAAAACGCATCCACTGTAAGCTTCATAACTATAATACTAAGCTCTTTAGGTAAATCTCTCTTTCACGTTGAGTTTTCCCGTTTCAATGATTTAAAACATTCACGACAACACGACACGTCGGTGGGTCGTACATGTTTTCCGTTTTGAACAATACGACCCACTGATGGGTCGTAAGACCCATCAGTGGGTCGTATTGTTCAAAACGGAAAACAAGTAAGTTTGACAGAGCGAGAACGGCTCTGGTCCAAAAGGCAGTGATCGAAAAATTGGCTTTACTTTATCATGAATGTGCTAATTGATCCTGTATAAATAGAATACGTACACCTACGGGATGATTCTGTCTAGATTTGATGTTTATGTATTCAAAGTAAGGTTTAGTTTCTTATCGTTGTGAACCTGTTAACATCACATAAACTATAGTTCAAAGGTTCGCTGTTCTGTTTGTGCATTTATGATTTCATGAAAGTCACTATTATTGGTCAGAATGTCACTATTAACATAAAAAGTACAGTGAATTTTCACATTTGCGTGAATCCGCCATCCACAGGAAGAGCCAGGCCAGTGGTCATAGAAGACGCATCGCTTAGCAGATACAGAACAGCATTGACAACCTCCTGCACTTCTGAATAGATTTACTTTGACATCAGCTGGGGCATGCAACTTATTGTATTTGTCAACAAACCTGCAAATCTGCCGATCGGCATCTGTGAGAGAAGAGGACCAGATCTATTAGGATCACTCCAAGTCTGAAATCATCGCTGTGAGAAAAAATAGGAAAATACGACAGTATAGGAATGCATTCTCTTATAAGGTTCTATAAAAACCAGTGAGTTACGATGCGTGATTGGACAAACATTTCAAATATAGTGGACACTCATATGATGTTTTCCTCCTTACACATACATGAAATTTCGCTAAACTTTTGCCTCAGCTTACTCGGATTGTTCAATGATAAATAGTCCCTAGAATCGGCTTTTGCAACCATAACCTTTAAATTTTGTAAATCACCATTCTTCCCATGTCAGTCATTACCACTGTCGGATTGACGCAGTTGATTCGGATTCCAAATTTTCCCAACTCCTTGGCAAAACACCGTGTAGCCATGTCAAGCCCAGCTTTGCTTGCACCTTCAAAAACTCAAGATTGCGAAATCATGCTACCATGAGCTCCGACCCACAGTAAGCAGTATGATCATCCAATGGACGCATGGATGCTTGCGATGAAATGTTGACTACAGCGCCTCGTACATCATTTCGTACCATTTCAGATGTCACAATTTTTGTGAGCATTATTGGCGCCTTCAAATTAACATCCAAAACCCTACAATGATACAAATAATAGCACCAAAAGAAACACTTAAACTTTGTTCTCACTTAGTAACCGCTTCCTCACTCAGGTTTCTAACCGATTCGATTAATCCGCAACCGGCATTGTTGACGAGAAAATCAAACGGCTGATAGGGTGCCAGTAAGGTTGTTAGAGTCGACTCGGATGAAGTAACGTCCGCAACTACGACGGAGATGTTGGAGTGCTGAAGACAACGGTTGAGATTCGGCAATGGTGGAGTAAATCTTGCCTTTGATCGAAGCTCCTCAAGTTTAGCTTGATCTCGTGCGAGTGCCACGACTTCGGCACCAACTTTTGACAGTGCCTCTGCTATAGCATAGCCAATACCTACAAGTGAATATGCCGTGAATGATGTTTTACCAATCACTATGTCCACTGCGAGAGAAAATTTCTTCCTGATTTTGACAAAAATGTGGAACATTCTTTTGATAACTGCAGAAGAACTCATTAATATCAATGGGTTTCGTTCATTTGCTCAGTAAGGCTAAAACGCCATTCAACAACGAACATGCATAGAACAGTTACGCATTTTTTACTTTCGTTCTCGATAAGAATGTCAGTGAATGTGAAGAACAGGTTCCAGATCTGTTTTGTCTATGAATTTTGACTTGAGAAGGAAGCCATAAGATCTAGAATAGGCATTGATGGCAAAAAAGGTCAAATCAAAGATAAATTGCATTCTCAGCTTCTAGCTTCTGCCAAAAAAAGGAAAAGTCTTGGTACTTTCCCGTTATCCGGAACCATTTTTTTAAAATAAGGATATTGCTTATTTCTGTACCAAATTTGATAAAAACTTCACAGAATGGAGAGTCAGCCTCCTGCCACGTGTCAAAAAAAAAATGACATCTACAATCAATTATCTACATGTTGAACAGGTTTCATTGAGAGCTTGCGTACTCTACCCATCAATGTAATAAGTTCAATTTGTTTTTACAATAACCCCATTTTTAGTCAACAGTTTTTTGAATGAGCTTAACATTATGCAAATAGCATTGTGTGTCTAATAAACATGTTGGGTCTTCCCAAAAAAGAGAAGTTCTAGTGTTCTATCAGCTAAACGAGGAAGCATTCGGCAGCCAAATACTTCAAGCCTTCATTTATATTCTTCCCCGACTAAATTAGTATGGCGGAAACAAGGTCAAGAGCAGAATCTCTTTAAATCATTGCTGAAAGCTACCAAGATGCCTTAATAAACGTTTAAGACTGTTTTGCTCTCTTAGACCCCTGATCAGCTTTCGAGTAATTTCAAATGCGCTCGTACCTTACCGAAAATATTTTTGAAAGAACATGTCACATCGATCCCAAATGTGTTAATTTTTATCTTGAACGTGGCAAGGAGACAGTCCTTACAAGCTCAATAAAAAATTTCTAGGCTGTAGCACGTGTTCCATAGGAACAATTTGAAAAAATGGTTCAAATAAAAAAGTACCAAAATTTCTTCAAAAAATGGCATTTCCGTGACAGCTTTACGAAGATTTACTGGAGAACAGCATCAACACTTAATTGATGATGGAATTTTTTTGATGAAAGAACCTGTCTAACTGAGAAAAATTTAGCTTTCTTAAAAGATGGTTTAAACAACTTACCTCTACTGGCGCCGGTAACAAGTGCTTTTTTACCCGTGAAATCATATTCTGCAGGCATGATAGGGACGGCGGCAATGTGGAAGGCAGACAATCGTTTGCTAATGACTAATCACGTCTCCCTTTGTCTCTCAACGAAATTCTCTATCACATTTGATGTATTAGAGTCCCGAAAGTTCTTTCGCACCAAATTCAAAAATTCATAACTTCTGATTTTTCCAACCGATTTGATTGCTTTTATTTTTGTACGAAAGAGTAAATCATGATCTTTATAATGACATCCCAGATGCTTAGTATTGGTCATCTGTTGCATAGATAGGAGCGATAGAAGAAAATAGGTCAAAATTTGGATTTTCTGTGTAGGGTCATAAGAAATCGGAAACTTGTAACAAAAATCGGAGCAGTCGGTATTGAAGGTTCTTTCACCAGCTCTTTCTGATAGTGCAAAGTTTGCGCCGATTGAGCGTCTCTATGAAATGTTACGATTTTTGAGCAAGCAATACAAAAGGGCGAATTTGATTTATTTTGGCTTTTTTCAAGGATATCATAACTTTTCATAGAGACGCCCAATCAGCGCAAACTTTGCACAGTTAGAAAGACTGGTGGAAGAACATATAATACCGACTGCTCCGATTTTTGTTGCAAGTCTTCGATTTTCTATGACCTTACACAGAAAATTCGTATTTTGACTAATTTCTTCTACAGCTCCTATCTATGCAACAGGTGATCATTAGCAAGCAGCTGTCAAGTCTAGGGGTGTACGGGCCCTAGCTTGATGTGTAGCGGTACAGGTTGGTATTATATATATTTATTATCTACATATATTACAAGAAAGGGGAAGGGGGAAGACTGACTAGGCAGCCTCACGGGGCGCGGTCGTAGGGGGTCACTGGCTTCTATCTGACCTTGTCGGCCAGCTCACGGGAGAGCAGCAGGCGGAGCTTAGCTGCGTCCCGACATCTCCATTGCTTCAGAAAGCTCGTCCTCGAGCTTGTTCGGCTGTTGTTGAACGTCTTCCGAGTTACGTGTGTAAGGAGTACACGTGTTACGGCGAGACCATAGAGAACTTCGATTTGGGTACCATAATCTCCAGACTGATTGAGTGGAGGAGTTGGCTTAGGCGGATTGGATAACCAAACAGCGACCTTCACCTCATCCTAGGGGTACAGAGTGAGCTTGTCCTCAAGCGGAGAGATATATACGGAATGAACGATGTGACGTAGGGGACTGCTTGGGAGAGGCAGTAACATGTAGTTGTAGGAAGTGAACAGGCGTATTATAGCCGGATATTGACGAATGGGAAAGTTGGCGTGGAGATTTATAGGAGTATAATGTGACCGGTATTTGAATGTTGATACGATGAAGTTATGGGTTGAAGGGCACTTGTTGTAGAACATGATAATGAAAAAAAAGATAGTGTTGTGAGCAGAAATTACATAGCTAACAAAGTATTGGGCGATATTGGATGACATTAGTAATTCTGAAGTATTTTACATAAAATAGTCAAGCTACATACGGAATTTTAGGACGTGTGATATAATAAGGTATAATAAGGCATTGCATAATTTAAACTGAGTCATAAACTGAGTGGTTATACATCATATAAATAATGCAATTGTTTAGAAAACGGAGAGGAAGATTCGGATGCAGAATTGAGCACAACAAACTGTGTTTAATTCAACATAGTGGCAAATTTTGAGTGTTAGAGAAATGGGAAATTTTTTTTTCCGCTGCCTAGCACAAAATATTTTTTTTCATTCTTTGAACTGCCGGTTCAAAGAAATTTATGCTTATAGATAATCGCAGCGGTGCGGCAAAATAGGTGTAAACAAACTCACGTTGAGAAATATCCAGACAGCAGAAAAAAAATAAAACTCTGATAGTCTGATTTTTTCCAAACTGAGTTGCATTCAAAAATTGTCTTGCAGTCTTGCGACTAAATTCGAGACTAAATTCGTGAACAAAACAAACATGATGTCGTTTATGTTCTGATGTTTCCTTTTTTTAAATCGTTTTTTTTTTTTGAAATAGTGCGTTTTTGGAAGCATTAGCCCATTTTCGACATAGACAACATGAAAAACGCAAACCAAATCATACAAAATTAATTAGCAGTACATTATGGCATAGTAAACTATGCGAATAGAACGTTTCCACCGCAGAAACTACGATACGTAGCTTTTGAATTATAAGTATACGAACTTCAGCGGAAATGATCCTAACATCATGTGGTAATTCACGACTAATTTGCAATCTATGAATATCTATGTTTCTTCAACGTCCAGATCCAGTATAGAAAATTCTATGGTATGATTGTTCCTGAATTCTGCTGAAATCTGTAAAGGAATCATCACCATCGTTTTCTAGGGAAAAAACGAGGACTGGGTGACGTGAAACGTTCTAAACAGTTTCTTTTTCATTCCCAGGAATGAATTTCAGTGTGACAAAAAACTATGCCTTCCGTTGCTTATGGTTAACTTCGGCTGATCACCTTTCAAAAAAATGCGGTCATTGCTTCCGATCAGAATATCAATCTGGATATCTCAACATGTTCAGAAGCGCTGAGGATTTTTTTTTGGCAAACAGCAAGTTATTTCTTCTATGAAGCGTTTCGGTTAAAAGAGAATTGTTCTCTGAAAACAACCTCCATTCAGCTACAAGTAATATTCTCTGAAAATATTTTTAATTGTAGTTCTGATTGCTACGTTTAACAACGTAATGCAGACTTGGTTTGTGCAATTGCACAAAACTGGAGGAACTGCTATATTCCAATGTTCTTACCAATAGTGTGTCCACTTTTTTTTTGAATCTGAATACTTTTGCGCATATTTTGGTAGAACCTCAGAGAACATGAAGAGGTCTCATCTATCTGAACGAGTACCTCATGATGTACGGAAAAAGTTATTGAAGACAAACTTCAATCACATTGAGGAAAATTTATCTCAACTCTCAAATTGAGAAAATTTGAAAATTTCGAAAAAGAAGAATATTCACGTCTGAAAATCTCTTTTTTTTTTCATTGCCTCAGTGCGTGAGAATCAGAATTTTAGATATTTTAGGTTGTGCACTTCTGTTCATCTGTTCTAACAAAAACTTGTATGCTTCGTGTAGAATTTAGACGTTTAGAAGGAAAGCTTGGCCGAGCTTTGATTTCTGTCGGTAAATTCAGCGGATGCGAAAGTTTCATTAGCGAATTCATTTTTTTTTCATTTTGCTGGCTCTAGTTTGGCGAAAAGTTCAATTAGTGCTTTAATTTGTAAAGGGAAATTGCGAATCTATCATATCGTTCAGGAAGGCAGCGTTGTTCGGTATGTGAAATAGAATTTGATTGAAAATTTGATGGTGAGAGCTTTGAAAACAAGTTACTGATACATGTCGTTTTTTTTCTAGCAAGACTTTTTCATTAAATCAACTAAACTTTGACTTGCAGAAAAAATATGCCATTTTGCATTCAAAATTGGTTCTTCTCATTCGCGAATTTAGCTCGATCATGAGACTGATTGCGTTATGGAAGCTTTGAATCTACAGAACTGTTAGTTCTTCCTTTCAATAGAAAAAATTTTGATTTTGTATAAAGTGAAATGAACTGTGATTTTTTTTTTCAGAGAGAACAGATATTTAGCAATGGTTTCAATTGTCAAATCATTCTTCAAAAAAAGTGTTTCGTGATGCTTGGGAAATGTAAAAAACTGAATTCATTGTATTATCCTTTTGAAAAAAATAAAGCCTTTCATCTCATAAAAATGTATTTTTCAGAATTATAAAAGCGCTGGCAAGCAAACCGAATTCGGGGATGCTCTGACGCATGAATAGACCCTGTACGTTATGAAAAATTTGACTTGTAGCCCCTAGAAAAAATTTTGATTTCAAGTTGAGATTCAAGATTCGCACTTTCAAAAACTGCATGCGATATTTGATACATGACTGGCGAGGTTTTTTCGATCAAGATCATTTATGTAATTGGTAAAAATTTTGAAGAAAAATATGGAAAAAAAGAAAATCCTTCTTTTTTTTGAAATGCAACAACTTATTTCATGTTTTCATAGGTCTGTTGAAGTGATTGTAAGAGCTGAGAGAATGCTATTTCGAAAGTGGATGTGTAATCATAACAAAGGCCGAATAAGCGCTTCTGTAGATTTTTTTTATTTTGAGCTTCTGAGGTAAAATTCTGTAATATGCTGACGGTTTTTTCAGAAGAAATTTCAAATACGTTTGAACAGTGTAAAATTAATACTAAGACGCATTTTGTTAGAGTATCTCAAATGTGGAAAGCGGTTTGATTTAGTTCAAGTGGTGTTTTTCTTATAGCAAAAAATTCATTTGACATAAGCAAGCTCTGATACGGACAAGATTCTGCTCAATAATGAGAAGAAATTCTAGCAATAGGACCATTGGAAATTATGGATGAGAGGTCCAATTAATTCCAGAAGCTCTGAAGAGTTTTCAACTCAAGCAGAAAAAATCTATCTCATTGTCAGCGAGAATTTTCTTTGAATCTCAATTCCATGTTTAATACAAGTATGATAACCAAATGAAACTTTTCCTCAAATCTAGATAAAGAAGAAAGCACACATTTCCGAAAATATGTATGAATAATGAGGAGATTTTCTGAAGTGGTAAGATTAACTTAACTGAGACTAACAAGATTCGCGAAATTGAGCTTTTTTTTGTTTTGAAGATTACGCAACTATGCGTGCTAAAGCAAAATTCTGGTGCTCCTCTCTTTTCTTTTTGTAAGGTGATTGAGGTGGAAAATGTTTTGTTAGACATTGGCACTGCATTATGAAAACTTCGTGAGGGAAAAACCAGAATCGGTCAATTGATGAAATTTCGTTAGTCGTGCAAGATTTGAGTTTCTTGAATTTCCAAAAACTGAGTGAAAGTGGTAGTCCTGAGCTGAATTATGCGAGCAGAGTTGTATAGTTGCGTATTTCAGATGCTTGGCTCCACATATATAGCCTTCATGAGATATATTTTGAATTTTAAATGAAGGATATCTCGGTTTTTTTTCATTACTCGTAAAAGAATTCAAAAAAAATCTGCAACAGCCTGTCTACGGTATACCTATCGAAGAGTATTTACTGAAAGAAGGTTTCGAAGGTTTTCCGAGTAGACCTAGTAGGAGCAAGCCACATG